TCTTTGTACAGTCAGCTTTAACAGAATAGGAGCTCGTATACAGGGGTGCAGAAATGTACACAGGACCTTACTGGCAGAAAGTTGTCAGCAAGGTCTTACATAAAAAATGGTCTGTGGTGCATCTCGGCTCCATATGGACCTAGACACTATGTTCATATAGAGCTGAAATGTGTACATAAAGGTCATTCATTCAGAATGACTTAACGTGGTTGTTCGCCTCAGAAATGAAATATGAACAAAGCATATCCATCTATAGTGTGTACTTTTCTCAATCCAGAGCACTAAGTGTCATTTCTGCCTGCTGCTTCATTCCTCTGTCAGGAGCAGCACAGGCATACCTCGGCCTATAGCAGTGGTTCTTAACCTTGTTGGAGGTACTGAACCCCACCAGTTTCATATGCGCATTCACCGAACCTTTCTTAATTGGAAAAATAAAATATGATTTTTAAAATTCAAAACATAGGTATATATTTATACATAGGTGCACAAAATGAACAAAACCGTTAAGAACAAAACCATTAAAACATGATTTTCACACAAAAACAAAAACATAATAATGAATATTTACTGCACGAATCATATGAGTCGGGTGTGGGGGTCTTCACCTCTGCCGAACCCGCGAGACTGACTCACTGAACCCCTGGGGTTCGATCGAACCCAGGTTAAGAACCACTGGCCATCCTCCCTCATTCCTCCCACCACTTCATCCCCCTCAGCCACTTCCTACTGTACCTTTACCCCCTCCCCCTCCCTCCTAGATTGTAAGCTCGTAAGAGTAGGGCCCTCTTACCCCTCGTACATTGTTTGTTGTTGTTGTACTGTGCCATGTATTGTCCCCCCTATTGTACAGCGCTGAGCAAACCCTTTGGCGCTATATAAACTCGTAGTAATAATAATAATAAATAATGATTGAAACTGAGGTCATCCTGTGCCACCGCCACTTCCCACTGAATGACTGGTGCAGAGGTCATTCTGCAACTCTTCCGTTGCTTATCGAATGACATGAAAATGAAGTGATTTTGCGCCACTTCTGAATAATTAATCCAGAGGCAGGGGAAAGATGTTGTAATAAAGTGTAGGCTGCAGGGCAGGTAGAGCATGACTGAAGGCCAGCAGTCCTTTTAAATGCAGAACAAGGGCCATTTATGCGTTCCACATGTAAACATTCTAACAAACATTTACAGGTATAATACTGTGCACATTGCAGTGCTTTATACGCCTTGTGCATGAGTCCTTATCCAGCCTCAGATTCCATTGGTACTGCAACACTAATAAACAGGAAGCAAAAACTGCCTTTGTGTTTAAATAAATATAACTGTCCCTATGAAAATATATAATATAGAACTGTAAATAGAAACAACTTTTACAATAGTATATAATATAAAGAAATAATAAATAAAACACAAAAGGTTTAAAAAAAAAAAAGCAAAATACATTGACAGGGTTAACATTCGAACTCTGTTAAGTATTTATTGCTGTCCGTGTGCCCACTGGGGTAAGTTCCTCTCCCTGTCACCAGAACAGGAAGAAATGAAAAACCGCTCCTGAATTACATCTCTCCACCCTCTACCGCAACACCATGTAAAAAAAAACTGCATGTGGACAGATGCAATGCTGGTTTCTTCCAGGCATTTGAGAGCTGGAAGAGATCAGCAGCACATCTGCACATGAGCTGTGGATTTCCAAGCCCACTGCACGTGCTCCACAAAGTTAGTAACCCACTGCCTCCTGGGTTAGATGTGACATAGAAATATCAGGAGGTAGCAGGTTAGACTGGGAACCGGATGGTTCTGTGTGTAGGAGGAAGAGGGGCACACACATCGAAATTTGGCCGATTTAGCAACAACCAGATGAATTTCAGTATGTGCACCATTGTCTGTTCAACAGAAGTCAGTCTTTAGATCAGCTTCTGTCAAACAGTCCTGCTGGAAAACCAGCAGTTGATCAGCCGCTGCAGCCAATCGCTAATCAGCGTATTCTGACAGTCCTTACTGTCAAAATACAATAGAACAGCGGGGGAGATCCCTGCTTCCACCTCACTTGTGTGGATGCAGGGATCTATTATTTTTCCCTGTGTGTGCACCTTGATTAATAAATTGTGATTTGAGTGAGTTTAGTTCTGCTTTAACCACTTCCTGTCCAGACACTTTTACCCCCTTCCTGTCCAGGGCAGTTTTCAGCGCTATCACACTTTGAATGCCAATTGCGCGGTCATGCAACACTGCACCCATATGAATTTTTTACCATTTTTTTGAGACAGATAAAGCTTTATTTTGGTGGTATTTATTCACCGCTGGGATTTTTATTTTTTTTGCTATGTAAATTAAAATGTCCAAAAATTTCGAAAAAAAAAAAAAAAAAAAAAAAAAAAAAAAAAAAAAAAAAAAAAAAAAAAAAAAAAAAAAAAAAAAAAAAAAAAAAAAAAAAAAAAAAAAAAAGTGTTTTTCTTATAAAATTTTGCAAATAAATAATCTTTCATCATAGATCTTGGCCGAAATTTATTCCGTTATCTTTTTAGTAAAAAAAAAAATAAGCCAATTTAGTTTATAACCCAAAATTATAATTTTTAAACATTTTTTATTTTTTTTATATTATTTATGTTTTTTGTTTTTTTTTGTTTTTTTTTTACATACTGTCACCCTAGCAGTACAGTGTCACCATGGTGACACTGTACTACTTGTGGGGGGTGATGAAGATTTTTTTTTTACAGTGATTGCTTTTACACCCATATAGGATGTAAAAGCAATCATTTTCTCTTTCTCTCTGTCTGCATTCTTGCAGCCATTGAGAACTACTGAGTGAGCTGTGATTGGTCACAACTTGTCACATGGTACAAGGCTGCTGTGAATAGCTTTGTACCATTTGACCTCTGTGATCATTCACAGATTTCACACGTAGTAAGCAATGATGTCACAAGTGACATCTTGCTTACTACTTTGCATGTGATCACTGATTGGCCTATCAGTGATCACATGATCGGGACCTCGTACAGAGGACCCGTCTGACGATCGGTGTTTCACTGTGTCCAGAGGACACAGCGGGCATCGGATCGCGGTGGTGCGCACTCCCAGGGAGCGCGCACAGCTAGAAATGGCGGGTGCCGTTTATGAACGGCAACCCGCCCCTGGAGTGCCACCACCCTGCCGTTTATAAACAGCAGGCGGACGGCAAGTGGTTAATATCATCAGAGATAACAAGAAAAAGCTGACAATTTCATTTTTAGGGTGCATTCACTATTGCTAGTGCACCCTGTCTGCAATCAGCTCTGAGAGCTCCAGTGAAGGTTCCCTGCAATTATGAGAGGCAGCCCCTTTGAAAGGAATTATCTGTCGCATCTAATCATGGCCACATGCATGCCTTCGTGATGTAGCAATCACATGTAAGTGATCAGCCCTGGATGCAGACTGCATGCACATCTAATCGCAGTGTGGGTGCATTCAGAAGTGTGAATGCACCATAAAGCAAACCTGGTTTTACCCAGCAGATCATACTCACCATTCCTTCACTTCCACACTGTTTCCTTCAGTCCCCCCCCCCCCCCCAAAAAAAAACAAATACTGTAGCTGCTGACTTTTAATATAGAGGATTCATCATTGTTCTCACTCAAGCTGATTCTTCAGTCGGGTTCAGGTCCAGGCGACAGCATCTTAGCTCAGATGCAAGCCACACTGTGAATGGTCCCACAGTCTTCTTTCCCAAAAGGCTGAGGGGAAGGGGGTGCAAGCTTCTGCTCAGATCGCCTCAGTGAACTGACCAGACGTGGGAATGGGTACCTGTCAATACCAGGTACCCGCTCCCTCCCCCCCTCCAAAAAAGTGCCAATTGCTAAAGGGAAGGGAGGATGCAAACAATCAGAACTTCCCCTTTTGAGTGAAGCTCTGTTTTAATTATGTCTGCGTGTAAAGAAGCATGCGACTTGTTCCATGTGACAGGCCAATCAGCAAGCAGCAGTGCTGTTAAATGTGCGAAGTCCCAGTATAAGTGTCAACTTGAGTGACCCAGAGCTTATACAGGGTGACTTCTGATGCCCATTGGGAACATACTGTATATAATGGGGGCTGTATGGTCTATGGCATGTTATCTGGGTTTACTGACTTATCTGCTGATTCAAGCACAGTGCTTATTCTGCCACCCCCGTATAAAATTCAAAATACTAACCACAGCTTACAAAGCCATCCACAACACTGCCCCTAGCTACATCACCAACCTCATCCACAGATACCGCCAAACCTCCAGAACATTTCCAAAATCCGCCCCTTCCTGACCAATGACACCACAAAGCAACTTATCCACGCCTTGGTTATATCCCGCCTCGATTACTGCAACTTCCTCCTCACTGGTCTACCGTTACACAGACTATCCCTCCTTCAGTCTATTATGAATGCTGCTGCTAGACTCATACACCTTACTAACCGATCAATGACTGCTGCCCCTCTCTGCCAATCCCTCCACTGGCTTCCACTAACCCAACATCTAAAATTCAAAATACTAACCACAGCTTACAAAGCCATCCACAACACTGCCCCTAGCTACATCACCAACCTCATCCACAGATACCGGCCAAATCGTCCACTCCGCTCCTCCCGTGATATCCTCCTCTCTAGCTCCCTCATCACCTCCTCCCACACTCGCCTCCAGGACTTCTCCAGAGCCTCTCCCATCCTCTGGAACTCCCTACCACAGCATGTCCCGTCAGCCCCCACCCTGTCTGCCTTTAGGCGATCTTTGAAAACTCACTTCTTCAGGGAAGCCTACCCCACCTCCACCTAAGAACTGTACTTGAATCACCTCCACCAGATCATCCCCCGCAGCTATCATCTTTTGTATCACCTCCCCCTTCCTTTAGATTGTAAGCTCCACGAGCCGGGCCCTCCTATTCCTTCTGTACTGAAATGTATTGTAATTGTACTGTCTCCTTAATATTGTACAGCGCTGCGCAAACTGTTGGCGCTATATAAATCCTGTATAATAATAATAATATATTTATTACTAATCTCTGTACTCCAGTGACAACATCATCTACATCCGCTCAGTCTACGGATCAGTCTACAGCCTCTGTCATTGTAGCGGTAGCAGAAGGAAGAGGACTTGCCAGTGGAGAAATAGGAATGGCTAGTTTGGATCTGAGAAACCCCGATGTTGTCTTGTCTCAGTTTGCAGACAGCTCAACATATGTCAAGGTAACAGAATGTTTGCTTTGTGTACATTCAAGGAATGAAAAATTCAAATGAGAAACATCTCTGTGCGTTCAGTATATGTTTTGTGTTCAGATGAACAATTTTTGAGCATCAGTTCTGCTGCATGTTTGTCTTAAAGCAAGAATGTTACACAGAAAATGCAGCTATTAAATCCATGCATATTTGGCCAGACTTAATGGGTTAATATATTCTAGGTTATAACAAGACTTCAGATTCTAGCACCAAAAGAAATATTGATGTCAAACACGGCCTGTGAAGGTGGCAATACAACAGAACTGTACCGTCTGATCACTGAAAATTTTAAGGTACAAATTTATAGATGTTTCTACAATACCATCAGTTCTGCATTTGCTGAGTTATCAAACTGAACTCCAGCCTTCCCTCAGTCTTGCACAGTTGTACAGCTTCCTCTCCTGTACTAGCATCACTTACTCTGATTTACCTGCACACTGTGAGCTTCTTCTGGCTCACCTGTTTCATTAATTGGAATTCAGTTATTTCAACCATGGAGGCTCAGCATCACATGTGCGTATTGCTTATGACAGTCTGCTTGCAAATGCAGCCTTCCTAGGAAAAACCACTTCTACAGACTTGCATCCACCCATATAGGGTTCTGTCACACGGATGTTCCTATCGGGTCTGCCTGCCCGTTTTTCAGGCAGACCCAATCGGAACCTCCATTCTCCTCTATAGAGTGGCAGGGTGTAAATGGACATGTGTCTGTTTACACCTTCCGACGTCCAATCTGATCTGTTCCACCAAAAAAGGGATGGATGGGGATCCGATTCCCCTTCCGTCCATCGGCTCGGGTAGGATTAAAACGGACAGGCAGTCCATTTTCATCCGACCGCCCATTGGGGAGAGTGAGCAGCTCTGTTTCTGCTCTGCAGTAGCGGAGCAGACACAGAGCTGTCATCCGCTTGCTCAGTGGAGAGATCCCCCGCTGAGTAAGTGGATCCGCTAAACGGGTCCATCCCATGTGACAGGACCCTAAGGCATTTTGATATTTGTATAACACCTCCCAAGACCCAGCTTACCTCATGGAAGCTATAGTACAGCTTCTGTGAATGGTGGATGGGGTGGAAAGGGCATAGTTGGCACTAAAACCTCAGCCAGCAGCACAAGAGACACTTCTCAAGAGACACTTCTCATTCCTTGTGCTGATTTAAAAAATAAAAACATTTTGGCAAAACTTAGGGTTTAATTCTCCCCTCACCTGGACCCTAAAACATAATGTAAACCCTAATATTAATATTTATCTTCTCCTTTTTTAGGTGCTCAGTCACACCATTGCTTTGCATGAACACATGCGCGTTAAAGCAGTGTGGATGTGTGAATTCAGCCTAAGTGTATTCAAAGCCAAAACTTACTTTTTAGTTTTGGTTAAAATAGGGGAAAGGTTAGAACCTCTATCAGGTTTTATTGCTGTTTGTGTCTCAGCTGGGTAGACTTACCCTCTCTATATATATTGATGACCAATGTTACCAGAACTAAATGAAAAAAATAACTAAAGAAAAAAATAATACATTTTGAGCTGTCGCTGGATCTGGAATAGAGGAAAAACTGTCTAAGAGTTTATTTCCTCTTATTTTAAAGAGATTTCTTCTTCATGCCTTGTTTACAGGACAGGAAAAGAAGGTAATTTTCCCCCATTGAAGCACAGAACACAAAAAAAACAATAATTTTAACGTTTCCCTACTCTTTACTTGACTAAAATTTTAATTTACTTTAAAAACTTCAATTCCTTTTTAACACTACTCCACCCTTAACCTAACTTAAAATTAACCATTAACACTAACCCCTAAACAGAGCCTAATACGTAACCAATGAAGTCTTAACACCCCAGTCAACACACCGATCGGACTTTGAAATCGTGAGATTTCCAGTGAAGTCGCACGATTGCAAAGTCGGATCGCATTCCGACTTAAAGTGCAACTTGCAAGACATCTGCGGCTTGCAAGACAGATGTCTATGCAAGTCGCACCTGAAGTAGTACACAAACTACTTTAGAAATTGGTACTGCTCCGACCACGTCGTAATTGCACTGATATGAGAGTTTTAATTGCAGACAATAGGGTGTTTCTTCCCCATGCGATTTGCAACTTGCATGGCATGGCAAATCACATGGCAAGTCACACCTGGTGTGACCGGGGTGTTAACCTTAAGTCTAACTTTAAGACAACTGCTAACACTAACCTTAACTCACTAAAATTCTAAACTTGAAGTGGTTGTAAACCCTTACATATACCCAGTGAAGTGACTGGCCTCAGGTGGTACACAGAGATGAAACAAATCCTACATAAGTTGTACCAGTTTATCTGCCGCCTTCTCTCCTCTATATCAGTTCAAAGGCCAGAGAATTTACACAGCATTTCTGAGCCTCATAAGGCAAGACATGAGGATCTGGCATCCCACACAGCATGACATAGAGCATATAGCTGAGTGTCACCTGGAATCTGAGGGAAGGGAATGAACACACTCCTCTCTACACAGTCTTATAAGGAAACATGCGCAGCTGATGCTGTCAATCACCTGCTATGTGCTGGAGGTGTGTGTGTTTGGGGAAGGGGGGACTGCTGTCTCCTGGGATTGTCTGGTATCCTGTCAGAAGTTACTAAAATGACAAGAGGAGGCAGAAATCACACTAGGTGCTTTAGATTGAGGCAAGTACACACTAGAAGGATGTATTTTGTTAATTTTTAATTTCAGAATTTACAACCACTTTAACTTATCGGACCCAGAAAACTTCAAAGTGGAATCATCACTGTCCCATGCCAAATGCTACCCTGCCCATTACTTGTATCTTAACCCACTGTTCCTCCAAAGACATGCTGGTAGTATTTCCACCGAAATACATCAAAGCTACAGTACAGCGTATAACCATTGTATAATCTATTTACTTGTTTTAGCTTTAATAACATATATTTATTGGCTTTTAGGGTATATCTTTTACAACTGTACAGAGGAAATATTTCAATGAAACTAAAGGTTTGGAATACATTGAACAACTATGTGCTCCGGAATTTAGCACAGTGCAGATGGAAGTTAAATCTAAGTATGATGAAATATATTAAAGTAAACCTCTTAAATATTGCATTTGTACAAAATGACTTTTCAACTTTTTAAACCATTGCTGTTAGAATGCAGACATGCTCTTTGTGCAGTAACCCTTAATAGCCAGAATCCACCTGTCGTTAATCTGTACTCTTTTGGTTGCTGAAGTCTTGTTTCACACAAAGAATCAGTATTTTCCATCTTTGTAAATGCATTGTCCAGCTGTGTAAAACAACAGATAGATAAGGGGCTATCAAAAGTGTCCAGCAGTAGAGAAAAGCACAGGATTGTCAGGCTTTAAAGAATAGTACAGGAATATATGGTTGTTGCTAGCACAAGGATTGGGGTCATCTCCGGTATCTATAGAGAAAGTGACAGAGGGGAAAAATCACTGGAGTCTAACAAATGAAGATTATAGGGATAAGGGGTCACCATTAGAGTCCAGCTATGGAGAACAGCACAGAGATTAGGGGTCATCACTAGTCTGTAGGCTACAGAGAACTGTACAGGTTATCATTCGTAGAGTTTAAAATGGTTCTAAAGGCAAATGTTTTTTTACCTTTAATGCATTCTATGCATTAAAGTAGAACTGTAGGCAAAACTTTTTTTTTTTTCCATTTTGGATAGAGTAAGGAAAGGTTATAACCCCTGTCAGTTTATTTTTTGCCATCTGAGTCCTACTGGGGGATATTTACCTTCACTTCCTGTCCCATAGCCAAAGCAGGAAGTGAGAAAATCTCTGCAAATTAAGGGAATTCCTTGGGGACCATTGGAAATTTCCCCTATATTTCTGTTCTGGGGACAAGTCAAAATGGGGGATTTCTTGTACTTCCACTTTTGATGATAATGGTAAACAGGACAAATAGAGAAGGTGAATCTCCCTACTGGGGACAGCAATAAATACCTAAGAGGTGTTCTAATCCCTCCCCACTCTATTCAGAACAAAAAAAAAAGGTTTGCCTTTAGTTATACTTTAAGGTAAAACACCTTCTGCATGCAGCTCTCCCTACAGCCCCCCTAAATACTTACCTGAGCCTGATCTCGATCCAGTGATGTGCATGGGAACAGTGGGTCTTTCATCTCTCTCTCTCCTTGCAAGACAGAGAGGAAGCAGCTGGAGCCATTGGCTCCTGCTGCTGTCAATCACAGCCAGTTAGCAGGCGGCGGGGCTCTGTGTGTCTATGGGACACACAGAGCTGGCTCGGAAGTTAGCACTCATGAGTGCCCCCAGAACAGTCATCTTGCTCTGTCACTCAGCAGGGGGGAGGAGACAGGAGTGCTGGTGGGGGACCCCAGAAGAGGAGGATTGGGGCTGCTGTGTGCAAAACTACTGCACGGTCCAAGTAAGTATGACATGTTTTTTCTAAATTGCCTTTAGAATCCTTTTAACTATAGAGGACAAAGATAAAATGATGGGTCATTTCTTGTCAGAAGTTACAGAAAGCAGCACAGGGATGAGGGATCATCTCTAGTCTGTAGCTATAGAGAACAATATAGGCATGAGGGGATACCAATAGAGTCCAACTATAGAGAACAGCACAGCGATAAGGGGTCATCACTAGTATTTAGCTATAGAGAACTGTATAGGGATGGAGGGTCACTGATGCTCAGCTGTAGACAACAGAACAGGGATGATGGCTTATTAGTAGAGTTTATCTATGACTGAGGGGTGATCATTAATCTTTAGCTACAGAGAACAGTCCAGGGATGAGAGGTCATTGGTAGTCTTTAGCTAAAGAGAACATTACAGGGATGAGGGGTCATCACGGGTATCCAGCTGTAGAGATTAGAACAGTGAGGAGGACTCGGGTATCCAGCTGTGATGATTAGAAATGGCACGAGGGGTCATCACTGGTGTGTCCTACTGCAGAGGAAAACAGAAGGTTATATAAGGTGTCATTACATAGGAAACATTAGTTATAGACTAATGCAGATATGAAAATTATGTTTAATGTAACAGTAAGAACAATTTGTACTTCTAAACAATTCTTTTTTTTTATGTATAGGTATTACTGCCTGGCTGCTGTTGCTGCTTTGCTGAAATACATTGAATTCATCCAGAATTCAGTCTACGCTCCCAAATCTGTCAGGTTCCGATTTCAAGGAAGTGAGCAGACCGCTATGATCGATTCTGCATCTGCACAGAGCCTTGAACTTTTGGTGAATAACAGAGATACTAGGTTTGAATATGGTTTGTATATGCAGGATTTGATTATATGGCGCTGACAGCTGTGTGTATGCATTCTGTAATCTTGATGGTCTAACAATCAAATGGTTAGATGGTTTTGATTAATATGTGGGTACACACCATTTAAAAATTCAACCATACTGTCCATGGTTTGATTGTAATGTAGCATGACATGTCAGTAGTGGTGTACAAGGTCATTAGAGGGCCAAGTATAAGTAGGGTGATGTTGGGCAATGCATCTTGGGAAATGTTTGTAATCTAGAAAGGAGAAACTACTTGTGAGCAGAGACAAATTAAGCAAGAATGGGGCCCTGTGCAAGGTAGCACCTTTGGCTCCCTATCCCTATTGTTGTCAATGATAAGACTTCCAATAGGCACCCCATTTGTATTGTCTTTACTAGTATAGCCCCATCTGACACCAACTGCCTACAAATGAATTCTCCCTTGTAACATGAAAGGCAGGCGCGCAAATTTCACCAACCGTGCTATGCCCTTGGTTTATTGCAGGGGTATTAAGGTTGTAGCTGGGCTCCTGGGCATAAATCAGGGTAGGTTCCTTCCTAGTTTGCTTTGCAGGTGATAAGGCTCGGCTTGTGGGGAAATGCCCTGTTTTCATGGCACGTATGTACCCACTGTATGTTTAGTCCCTTATACATGCTTTGGAAAAGTTTTGGAAAATGTGGAAATTAGATAAAATTTTTTTTTTTTTTTTTTACGTTGTTATTTTAACAAGTTATGTCTCACACACAGCATATGCATACATATAATTACACTCCAAAACGCATTTTGGTACTCCTCTTGAGTATAGGGATACCACATGTGTGAGACTTTTTCACAGCCTAAATGCACAGAGGGGCCCAAAATCGAAGGAGCACCTTTTGGTTTTTAAGAAGCATAAATTACACAGAAATTACGGATCTAATTTCCTGACTACCAATCACATTTTATAGGTCCTGGAGCATCAGGACAGTGGAAACACCCAAAAAATAACCCCAGTTTGGAAAGAAAAAACTCCAGGGTATTTATTCTAAGAGGCATAGTGAGTCTTTGGAAAATGTCATTTTTTTGCCACAAGTTTTAGGTAATTGCAGGAAAGAAAGTGAAACTGTATATTTTTACACAAAATTGTAAAGTAATAAGATATATCTGTAACACATCATGGACAATGATATCCCAAAACACATTGTGCTACTCCTCCCGTGTACGGGGATACCACTAGCCACACGGAGGGACCCAAAATCAAAGTGGCAACACCTACATGCAGTCTCTGCACTGCACAGCAACCATTATATGCAAGATTATTAGTGCAGAGCAACCCCTATGTTAAGCTTGTGAAGTACAATGCAGTCTATATGCAGCTTGTTTATTACACGGCATCCCTTTATATGCAGCCTTTGCAGGTTGCAGCAACCCCTATATGCAGCTTGTGCAGGACCCTGCAATCTCTATATGCAGCTTGTGCAGTGCATGGCAGCCATTATATGCAGCCTTTGCAGGTTGCAGCAACCCCTATATGCAGCTTGTGCAGGACCCTGCAATCTCTATATGCAGCTTGTGCAGTGCATGGCAGCCATTATATGCAGCCTTTGCAGGTTGTGGCAACCCCTGTATGCAGCCTGTGTATTACTCTGCAATCTCTATATGCAGCTTGTGCAGGACCCTGCAATCTCTATATGCAGCTTGTGCAGTGCATGGAAGCCCTTTATATGAAGCCTTTGAAGGTTGCTGCAACCCCTCTATACAGATTGTGCAGCGCACAGCACTTCCTATGTGCATTTTGCAGCAGCCTCTGTATCCATCCTGTGCACCGCAAAGTAACCTCTATATGAAGCCTTTGCAGTGCAGGGCAACCTTGATATGCAGCCTGTACAGTTCTCTGCAGTCCCTATATGCAGCTCGTGCAGTGCATGCCAACTCTTGTATGCAGCCTGTGAATGGCAACCCTTATTTGCAGTCTGTGTGGTGGGCAGTAGTAATTATAAACAGCCTGTGCAGTGCACAGCAACCCCTACTGTATATACAGCCTGTGCAGCAAGAAGCAAACCCTATATGTAGCAGCAATGTTTAAGGAAACTGTGAGTGTGTGGTGGTAATTAGGTACACTGACTGGCACCAGTTTTTTTTTTTTAATTTTTTATTTTTTTTTTATTTTTTTTTGGGGGGGGGATCTGGATTTTGTTTTACACTATGATTACTTATTACAGTGATGATCACTGTAAAAGCAATTGTTGGCTGTCATGAATGGCTTTCATTTATGATTCATTGTTTGCTATTGTGATTGTTGTAATTGGCCACATCTTTAACATGGAACAGGGCAGCTTTGATTGGCCCTGTACCATGTTATCACTGTGACCAATCACAGAGATCACAGTAATAAACAATTCTACCATGAATGGATTCCATTCATGATAGTTGTTTGCAAGTGGATATGTGATTGCTCAGAGTGATCACATGGTACCTGGGCAAATCACAGTGTCTTGGTACCAACAACTGTGATCTTCTGTGTCCATAGATTGTGCTGCTGGGCACCCCACGAGGTGTGTGAGCCGTAGAACATATGGGCACATCCTCCTGGAACTAGAGAGCGCCCGTCTGGCTGTTTATATACATTGGCTGGGTGGTAGTAATTAACTGCTTACCCGCCATTGTATAGCAGACGTACTGCTACATGGCGGCATGCGTGCACAAAATCACTTATATACATATATGTGATTTTGCATTTCTGGGTAGGGGGGCGCGCGCGAGCCACGCATGCGCCCTACCCGCGCCACCATTCGCAGCCGCGGATGTCAATCACCGGGTCCCGGCAACCCGATGATTACCTACAATCAGCGATGGGGAGGAAGACATTTACAAACAGTCTTCCTCCCTGTTGGCTCGGGCGCATAGCGGTCAGTGTGCTTACAGTGAAGCACACATCCCCTAGTAAAACACTCACTACACATGGTTAACCCTTTGATCACCCCTCACATTAACCCCTTCCTGCCCAGTGTCATTAGTACAGTGTCAGTGCTGTTTTTGTAGCACTGATCACTGTATTGGTGTCACTGGGGATGTCAGTGACACCAAGTTAGTTCCCCCTAGTTGCAGAACGTCTGCCACAATCTCGCTAAAAGTCGCTGATCGTCGCCATTACGAGTGGAAAAAAAAATCACATATTCTATACCGCCATTTGTAAATGCTATAACTTTCATGTAAACCAATTAATTTACACGTATTGGGATTTTTTTTTTAGCAAAGACATGGAGCAGAATACATTTTGGCTTAAATTTATGACGAAATTAGATTTTTAAAAAAATGTTTTACAGGACATGTTTAATAGCAAAATGTCCACAATATTGTTATTTTCTTAAAATTGTCGGTCTTTTTTTTGCTTATAGCGCAAAAAGTAAAAACCACACAGGCAATCAAATACCACCGAAAGAAAGCTCAATTCGTGGAAAAAAAAGGACATAAATGTCATCTGGGTGCGACGTTGCATGACCGTGCAATTGTCAGTTAAAGTAACGCAGCGCCGTAATGCAAAAAATGGCCTGGTCAGGAAAGGGGGTAAATCCTCTGGAGGGCAAGTGGTTAAAGTGTTCATAAAGCCATACATCTTGGAAATTATGAGAAAGGGTTAGAGCTCTGGCCAAGATTTATTGCTGTCTGTGTCTGCACTGGGAAGATTCACTTTATCGATTGGTCCTGCTGATCACAGTTGCTGGTAATTAAAAATGATGGGAAATCCAAAATTCTGGTTTTGTTACAGCAGTGTTTCTCAACTCCAGTCCTCATGGACCCCCAACAGGTCATGTTTTCAGGATTTCCATTATTTTGCACAGATGATTTGATCAGTTTCACTGCCTTAGTAATTACCACAGCTGTTTCATCTGAGGGAAATCCTGAAAACATGACCTGTTGGGGGTCCATGAGGACTGGAGTTGAGAAACACTGTGTTACAGGAACATGAGGGAAAATCTTTTATTTCAGACATTTTCTATAAGGGGATTTCTCTCACTTATTAGAGTTTTTCTCCGTCTTCTAGTTGTGAAATCCCTCTCTGCTCTGGTATCCGCAACTTCTCAGACCTTTCTTCAACTTGAACATTCATGAAATCCCTGGAGTGGCCCCCTATGCTACATACACATTTCTCATGTACCTCACCATAATTATTTTTCAACACATATGTTGGTCTGCTTGATTCTACTTTTCTGGAAATTCGTAGTGACCCCATAATTTGAACAACATATGCCATTCCTTACCAACTATTTGACTTCCTGTCAGGCTTTACCATTTACAATATCCCCTTTTACCTCATTTTCACAATGCAGATATTTAGTATATGACTGTTATGTCCTTTAATTATTACTCCCGTTGACATGTTTGCACTGCCTATGATGTACATGTACTATGATGCCACTTTGTATGACTTCTCTTGTACTTTTCCCTTTTTATACTATTTTTTTTATTGAATAAAAATGTAATATGTAAAAAATGTTGAGAAAAAGTCATTTTTCTCTTCTTGCATCATCAAGGAATAATCATAGCCTTTTTGGGGTACTGAATAATACTAAAACACCAGGAGGGAGTCGCAGACTCAGGGCAAATATCCTGGAGCCTCTTACTGACCTTGAAAGCATCAACACGAGGCTGGATTGTGTCCAGGAGTTTCTTGAAAATGAGGAGCTTTTCTTCAGCCTCCAGTCAGGTGAGAAGTCGTGCTTTGTATACATTGAGGACAATTATAATGCCAGGCAACCTTCGTTCTTTGAGATAAGCATTATAAACAAAATTTTTAATATACACAATAGGGACTTTATGGGTACTATACGAGTCAGACAAGTAAACTATTTAAAAATCTTGGATACCTTTTTATTGAGATACACATTAATAATGCCACTGTAGGAATCCATTGAGAATTCTATCTCATTAACAATATGTCAAAATGATTTCAATAGTAAATATTGGCGCTCAGAAACCACTATGTTACATTGGTTCATGAGATAATTATTCCATCATTTGCTTCACAGGTATATAAAGTTTGGTGAAAGCTTTTTCATAGATTTGAGCTCGAACGCAATGTGTTTCATTGATGAGAAATCATCTTCTTCAGAAGATTGGATTTAGCACTTATCTAAAATTATGAAACAAAAAAAACCCATGATATATCATTACAAATCACACAATTATATTAATCAAGAGTCCTTTCAAAACCATAAATTATCATAAATTTTTATTTTTTACAACAACAGCAGGCAAGCATTCACTCACAGACACACCAGAAGGGATTGTTGAGAGGGACATCACCACTCAGCATATGCCTAAAGATTATTGTATATCATTCCCATGTGCTCATCCTGTTCCTCCTTGCATAAAGGAGCAGATACCAGCCCTGCAGATGGGTTAAGGATCTCCTACGGCCCTATCCAGCCCTCCTAGAGTAACTGCCTGTCTCCTGGAATCTCCTCCATGCTCTTGAGACTGTTCTGGGAGACACAGTAAACCTTCTGGCAATGGCACGTATTGATGTGCCATCCTGGAGGAGTTAGACTGTCTGTGCAACCTCTGTAGGGTCCAGGTATCGCCTCATGCTACCAGTAGTGACATTGACCCTAGCCAAATGCAAAACTGGTGAGATACAGTCAGAAAAGATGAATAGGGAAAAAAATGTCAGCGGCCTCCACCTGTAAAACTCTTCCTGTTTGGGGGTCGTCTCATTGTTGCCCATCTAGTGCACCTGTTGTTAATTTCATTAACACCAAAGCAGCTGAAACTGATTAACAACCCCCTCTGCCACATGACTGACCAGATCAATATCCCAGGAGTTTAATTGACTTGATGCTAAACTCTGATTGAAAAGTGATCGTTTAAATTTTTTTGAGCAGTGTATGTGTATATACACAGCTTTGCTAATGCTCTTAATGGTGGTGATTAAAGTCTGTGAGCTGATTTGACTTGCGTTGGCCAAAATAGTGCTTTTTCATTTTTTAGTTCATCAATATGTGTTGTGGGCCCTGTTGATTGCAATAGCAGTCCATAAAAATGTATGTAGAATACATTTTAGTGTGTTTACAGCACACAGTAACCTCAGTTTGTTGCTCAACACTTCATTCGTTGACGGAACCCAACAGAGTTTTTTCTTTATTATGGAGCTCCATGGTGTCGTGCTTTGTTGAATTCCTATAAGCAAAAAAGTGCACAGAGGGTACAAAAAATTGGCAAACCTCCAAAGGGGAAGGGCTTCTAACCCTGAACCCCCTTGGGGTGCAGTCTCCTGACAGGAGCATGGTATGCCATGATCCTCCTAGACTGAAGGCAGGTGGACCCCACTCCTTAGGGACCAGCCAAATCCAGTCCATCAAGTACTTTGTGAAGGGCTCCCCTGAAGTAAGACTCCTTTGGATAGGGAGAGGCGAAAGACCCAAAGGCCACAGAACCTCAACTCCCCCCGACAGAGCAGTTCTCCAATAACGTTCACCCTCCATCTCTGTGCAGAAAAAACAACAAACCACATGTGCAGTGATATGATAAGTGAAAAATAAATAAAAAGTGCCAAGTGCAGTATATAAAGCAGGACTTGCAGAATGTAAAGAAAATATCCTTGGACTAGCCACGAGGCCTGCCCTAAAGGTGTGTGCAAGTAAAGCAGAAAAGTGACAACCTAACTGCCCGTAAAAACTCCATGGTGTGGTGCAGTCCAAAGTGTCTTAACAACATTCCTAGAATGCCAACCCTGGGAAAGGGGGGGCACATCAGAGAGTCCTCCTTGCACCTCCAAGCCCATGGACACATGGATGCATCTACATTCAAATAAGAAAGGTGCTAGAAATTACCCAACAGAGTAGTGCAGAATGCATTGAAACTCACATAAATACATGTGTTAAAAAATGGATAACAATGCAGCCCAACCTTAGGTAGAGTAGGGAACGGTTTAAACCCTATCTGGTTTATATTGCTGTCTATGTTCCTGTTTGAAAGATTTACTATTTGTCCTGGAAACCATTGTCATCAGGGATTTAAAGTAAGGGAAAATCTGAAATTCTGACAGGAATACTGGGTGAGTCTCCCAATAGGCACACAGTCTAAGAAGGGATTTACTTCCTGTTGTGTCTACAGGACAGGAAGTGACAGAAACTTTATTGAATGGGACACAGATGGCAAAAAAAAAAAAACGAACAGGTTTTTTAGACCATACCTACTCTATTTAAAATGGGAAAGGTTTTGACTTTGGGTATACTTTGTGTTTTTTCAGATGTGTCTGTGAATGTGATCTTAATTCATGTGTGTTTTTTCCAGTCCTCTCCAAATTTTTGGATACAGAACAGCTTCTGTCTAACCTCATTCAGATTCCAAAGCAAGACACAGTACGTAAAACTATGTGGTAGTTAAGACATTTGATCCATATTATGAATAATTATGCTAAATGCAAGGGTTGAAGGTTTTGTTCCTCTGATAGTTGTACGCTTTTCATTACTAATGTACAGCGGTCACCAACTTTCTTGACACAGAAGGCCCCTACTGCAGCCATTGACATCACCAAAGGGCCACACATAATGTTCAGTAAATGTAATTCTACAAAAGACTGCATATATAACAGGAAATTGGCATTGACTATGGGCATGTAACAGGACGTGGTTAGAGATTGTGCCATAGAAAGTGTTTGAAAAAGTGAAAATGAGGTGCTGGATTAGATTTATCAGTGGATCAATCACATTGTAACAAAGAACATTGGTTCTGGTTGCCTTACAACTCCTTCACACAGGTACTTGATATATTCAAAAGCAACATCCATTAATAGACCAGTCCTTGATATATATGGTAGTTCAATGTGAGGAATTTCCACTTAATGGACCTTTCTCATAGAGCTCTTAGAACAACCAAAGCCAAGCAAATGCATCAGTCATAAATGCTTCAAAATACTTATCAGTCTCCCATGGGGTAAATCAGGATGAATCAAAGTGGGGTCCATGGCAAGTAAAGAAAGCCTGACCGGTTTCATTGTAGTCAATATTTACTTATTAGTAAAAAAGAAAAAAGAGAGAAAAAAAGAATGCTCAGCACCAAAAAAAAGTAAAATATGGTTGAAAGGAATAAATTTAGCCATTTCTTAATGGCTAAAAAAAATGTATTCCTTCACTGGCCTACACCTAGGCAAGGAATCCACAGACTACTGTCTGTGGGGACTTAAAGGGATGCACAATATATGGCAAAGGGCCGAATGTGGCCCATGGACCGCAAGTTGAGCATCAGGATGTTGCACAGAAGATTCCTTATATTCTCAGCTTTCTAAATAGAATCACTCACTAAAAAACATTGCTTGCATATGCAGCAATTTTCTAATTCGATAAAGTGTTATGTTTTTGACAAGTCTAGAAGTGTAGTACTTGAATCTTAAATTGAACCTGTGACTAGGCTGTGGTCATTCTAGTGTTTTTTGAGCTTTCAAAACAAGTCATTACTGACCTCTGTAGCTGCAAGCATTGTGGAGCAAGAGAAGCAGTGAAGTTGTTCAAGTCAGGTCTTACCATTCTGCTCTCCTGCACTGTTTACATTACAAATTACAAAACTGTAAAGCTGCTGAGTCACTGCTGGGAGGGGGGGGGGGGGCAGCATGGGGAGCTGAGCCTCTGAAAGTGAAAGTGCATCTGCTGTAAACTTTAGGGATGAACTACTGCACAGTTTCTGCAGTTAAACGGGCCAGGAAAGACTCACAGCCTGGCCACAGTTGCACTTGAAATATAAGTTGTTAAACCTGTTTATTTTTCACTGATCAGTACTTAGCAATGGTGGTATGACGTGGTAAGTGCAACCTTTACGGCTCAGTCTGCTCTGCAGCTAGATGCCACAGCAGGAATACCAGTATTTTATTGAGAAGAATTGTACTGGGCTTAGAAAAATAGCCATGCACATGTGCAGACAGAGTGCCACTTGTAAAGTTCAGCAAACCCTATAATCCATTCTTGATGCACTGAGCACAGTGTTGACAGGGATCCAAAGGCCTCCAAAACAGCCACCAAATTGGGGCCTGAACACATTGAAATTCCATCCAGAACTGATGTTGCTCTCATCAGAAGTTCTGACCTTGTTCAGCTGAATCACATGCATGTACTATTGTAAATCACGCTTAAATAAAAATAACAGCAAGCGCATATAACTTACAAATTAAATTACTTTCCTCCAAAAGGTCAACAAATGATTTTTCAACAACCTGATAAATTCTTTCCACCAATATCATCCTTTGTTATGAGTTGGTTGTGATCCTTTTTTTTTTTTGTAACTTGGATTGTTAGGGCTGTCTTTTCTTTAGGTTAGGCCTGTCTGGTATATGGCTGGCCTGTAGATACAGAATTGCTCTGTTTAAAGTGATACTAAAGGTACATTTAAGAAAAAATAACAAATATGTTGCAATTACCTGCTCTGTGCAATAGTGTTGCACAGAGCAGCCCCAATCCTCTTCTCGGATCCCACGACGGCACTCCTGGCTCCTCCCCTCTGCTGAGTGTCCCCATAGCTATCCACTTGCTATGGGCGCACTAGTGTGGGCTCGCACCTGAGCCCCTCTCTGTGTGTCAATAGACCCACAGAGCATGGCTTAGCCCCACCCCCCACTCCCTCTTCACTGGATGTGATTGACAGCAGTGGGAGACAATGGCTCCTGCAGCTGTCTCTGAGCCAAAGAGAGCCGGGAAAGCTACTGCTCTCACGCACATAGCTGGATCGAGATCGTGCTTGAGTATTAAGGAGGGCTGGGAGAAAAAATGCACACTGAAGCTTTTTACCCTATGAATAGAATATATGAAGGTAAAAAACCTTCAGCCTTTACAAACAGGCCCGGACTGGGACAAAAAATAGGCCCGGGCATTTTGGACTGAGCAGCCCCAAGCTCGGGGACACTTTCCTCAGAGCCTGCTGGCAAAACGCCAGGGCCTGGTCGCAAGAGCGACCTTTGCAACCTTGGTAGTTCCACCACTAGTGTCTTTAGGTTTTTATTTTTATTTTTTTCCAATTTTAAAAAAGAAAGGCAGTAGGGAAAGAAGAAGGAGAGAGAGGGAAAGACAGAGGGAAAGAAGGAAGAAAAGAAAGAGGGAAAGAAGGAAGGAGGAATGGAAGGAGGGTGAGAAGGAAGGAGGAGGGAAAGAAAGGGAAATAAGGAAGGAGGAGAGAAAGAAGGAAGGAGGGAAAGACAGAGGAAAGGAAGGAAGGAGCTAAAGAATAGAAGGAGAAGGGAAAGAATGAGGGTAAGAAGGAAGGATGAAAGAAGGAAGGAGGGAAGCAGAGAAAGAAAGAAGTATAGAAAGAAAAAAAAAAAAAGAAAGTAAGAAAGGAGAGAAAACAGGAAAGAGAGAGAGAGAGAAGTATAGAAAGAAAGAAGAGAAACAGCAGACAGAGAAAAAGAAAAAAAGAGAGAAAGAAAGGAGAGAAACAGGAGACAGAGAGATAGAGAAGGAAAGAAAGAAAGGAGAGAAACAGGAGATAGAGACGTAGAGAAAGAGAAAGAAGAAGGGGGGAGAGAAGACACAAGACTGGTGGGGAGTGTAGGTGGGGCAGACACAGGAGGAGAGGGCGGGAGGAGGTGGGGCAGAACCAGCTTTCTCTTTCTCTCCCGTCTGTGGTGGGTGGGGAAGTGTCAGCACTGGGGACAGTCTGTCCTGACAGATGCTCCCTAGCAGCTGCAGGGAGGGGGGAACCCGGCTGCAGCACTTCAGGAGATGGGGGGGGCACTGGGGGAGCATACAGGAGCCCGGTGCATGCAGGAGATGGATAGAATTGGTGGCTGCGTGGCACATGTAGGACCCGAGAAATGCACTGTCTGATTCCTCTATGTGCCACCCCTCCTATCCAGGCAGCCTCGGCCCACCAGGCAAATGGCCGGTGCGCCCTATGGCCAGTCCGGGGCTTTATACAACCACTTTAAACTATCATCTGCTGTGCCATCTATGAATTGTTTATCATTTAAGTATTTGTTTTCTTCAAGAAGAACTTATTCCTTCTAATTATAATGTTCCTAAAACATAATTATCCTGCATTAGTGTAATCTTCAGTGTTGTATAGTTATCTAAAGACAAATATCAGGTGTCAGTTTCTCGGTAACAAGCTCCCTATTTATCTAAAGCTGCTCTAACCACTGGCTCAGTTACCTGATATGTGGTTGTCACTTGCGTTTCCTGTCACCTTTTGTCATTTATTTGTTTGTATGTTTGAGTGTTTCACAATGCAGTAATCTGTAAGTGAGCTGATAATTAGTAACCTGATATATAATCTGTTTTAACCTTCTATACTGCCTTAATAAAAGGCAAACCCAGCCGGACATTTATGTGTGCTTCAAATCTCATGTAGAGAATTTATAGTCTTTTAAAAGTTTTTTTTTTTTTTATGGATATATGGGATATACTGTACAACCTTATTGGCCAATGATATTGGAAGACTGTTCCCTGCAGCAGAAGAAGGCATTGACTTCTGTCATAGTCTGCATTAAACTCAACCATTTTCCAGTGCAAAGCCCCACCTCTTCCATTTAACAGTTCAGTTTTAGAACCATTTTCCAGTGCAAAGCCCCACCTCTTCCATTTAACAGTTCCGTTTTAGAACTTCAGTAGAGGTTGTGGACATTAGGGAAGGTGCTTGTGCCAGGGGCAGAGCTTATTGGGAACTTGGGCAGAAGTTGAGGTAGAGAGTACAGCCCATGGTAAATACAGGTACCATAGCATGCCAATTTACTAATATTGTTAAAAAGACACCGTTGTTTTTCGCCTTTAATAGGCAAAGTGAGTGTCTACTGATGGCCCAGTCCTCTCAGCTAGATATACTTACCACTCCAAGCTCCCCCACTACCACTGCAATAGTGGGGTCCTTCAGTAAACTCTAGAGTCAGAGGTTAACAGGATGAATCATGTTACTGCCCACCCATATAACAGTGTTCGGCCTGGTGACTGGCCAGTCAGGCCCAAGCACTGTTATATACTCTGAAGTCTCTCTCTGTTAAAACGACGGAGTGGGGAGGACGCGAGGGAGCATTGATCCAGCCCAACAAGAAAACATGCTCTACCACAAATTGCCTGGAAGACTGGGAACCGGTGTTCTGGCCCAAATGCCTTTGTTATGTAGCAATAATCCTCTAACATAAAGCCGACTACTCGGTAACACCCATTTCATCAATTCTTTATTGACACTGTGGCAGGATACAGCAGTAACGTGGAGACGCATTTCAATCGAAGACTTACTCATATGTTGTGTCCTGCCATATAGCCAATAAAGAATTGATGCAATGGATGTTGCTGGGTAGCAGGATTCATTATATTAGAGGGAGCATTGATTATTGGTGAGATTACCTTGCTGGGAGTGTGGGCTATCAGAAGACACCAACACTTAGTCCTGAATAGACATGCCACTGCTACCTCTTCTAGCAGTGCCTATGTATAGAGGATGTTATATTCTTTTAATTGCTCCGTCTTTCATGTCACAGCTCTCTGCCAATCTTTAAATACAGTAGCAGCTGTGAAAACTCTGTTCAATTGGCTTTACCTTTCAAAGTCTGGTATGCCATGTTTTCTATGTTCAATGATAAGCAAAAAAACAAAACAAAACATATACTAAAGTCTGATATTGGCAGCATAACAACACTGATGTTTGAAGGGCACAGCAGCCCTCTTTATCAAGGTAACAAGCAGAGATGTGTTTCATTTCAGTCTGCCTGAACACAATGATATCATCCCTCTTTCTCCTGTCTAGATTTTTTGTTCTATTGGCTGACTTAAGGTGTGAAATACAACAGTCCAAAAGGTGTACAATGAATGAACCAGAAAACAAGGTACATTGGGTGGCTTGTGCCTTAACATCAGTTATCAGCAGTTGTCACTGCACAGTGCAGCAGATTAGCAATCTGTACAAAGCTCACGGCAGCAGTCTGTGTCTCCATTGGAGTGATATCCTCCTAATTCCTGTCTTGGTAATGGTTGCCATTGGGAAGTGAGGGGCAATCTCATCACTGAAGACACAGACAGTAATAAAAGCTTGACAAAGGTTCCAGCTTTTTCCCATTTTCTCCAAAACAAAAAAAAAATTAGTTTTGGCTGAAGTTGGGCTTTAATATAACACTTAAGGGGGGAAGAGTTACTTATACTGGTGCATACAGAATCTGGTACAGCTGTTCATAGTAACCTATCAGCTTCTAACTTCAGCTTGTTCAACTAAGCTTTGACAATAGAACCTGGAAGCTGATTGGTTGCTTTGTACAGCTGCACCAGATTCTGTTTTTAGGCTACTTCAGCACTAATCCCCCCAAAAAAACGCATATGTGTCTGTGCTGTGTTTTTACTGAGTTTGCAGTGCGTTTTTTACAGGACATGTGATCTAAAAAAACGCAGGTGCGTTTTGATGCATTTTCCATTTATTTCAATGGGAGGGGGGGGGGGGGGGCGTACTTGTTGCATTATTTCACCGCCGCAAACCTGCACCAAAAATGCAGCAAGCAGGATTGTAAAAAAACACATTGGACCCAGAACAGATGCGTATGAAGAGTTCCATAGAAATACATAGTCACCCGTTTTTTTCTTCTGCTTTTTTGAATGCAGAAGAAAAACGATCAGTGTGAAAGCAGCCTTAATAAATCCCCCCCAAGATGTCTTTCCTATACATGGTAAACCAATAACAGTGTTTGCAGTGGGCTAAGAAACAGCTACACTGGACTGTCGGAAATTGGAGAAAGGTATCACCAGTAAATTCTGATTATTATATACATACTGTTTATATGTTTTAACTTTTTGATTCAGTCATGGCTACTGTGGAGTTTATTTCATGGAATTCTACTTATATATTGAACAGGAAAAAGCTGCAGAAACAAAGATCAGCTTTCTAATTTCACTGAAGCATACTCTAGAGCTAGTGGAGCCCCTAAAGGTAACTGCAAACTCCAAATTTTTAATTATTTCAGGCTGACTAGATGGGCAGATGCATGCTGAAAAGTTCTTAAAGTGGACCTGAACTCAAAAAAGGAAGAAGTGCTCTCTTATACGGATCATCTAGAAATGTTAGTTGTTTCTAAGCGCTGAAAAATAACATGGCACTTAGTGGTATACGTGGTATACGAGGGTGGCTAGGCCTTCCTGGGCCTCCACCCTGATAGCTGTATAAAAATCAGCAGAGTGAGATCTAAGGCCTGACTGCTAGGCTCTGGAGATGCCATGTGCAACAGTGAAAAATGACTAACAAGAGTCTTATGTCACCTGAGACACAGACACATAGACGGAATGAACACTTCCCAAAGGAGGTGTATCCAAAAATTGCAGTGAGATTTGGTGATGTCACTTTTGTTCTGATCACTGTTCTCTTTCCTGGAGGCTCTGACATGATGAGGCAAATCCCTGCCTTTACTAAAAAGGCCAGATCTACACAGAGACACCTAGCAGAACAAGACATGGTAAGTCAACAGTAACAATGCTGACTACATGCATATAAGTAGCAGCACAGAGTGTGCCTTATTCTGTGCTGCCATATACAGTTGCAAGAAAAAAGTATGTGAACCCCTTGGGATTACGTGGAGTTTTGCATGAATGTGCTCTGAACGTCATCTAAGTCACAACAATAGAAGAAACATAGTCTGCTGAACATAATACTACACAAACATTAGATGTTGCCATGGTTTAATTGCACATAACATGTAAACATTCACAGTGCAGGAAGAAAAAGTATGTGAACCTTTGGACTTAATAACTGGTTGACCCTCCTTTGGCAGCAATAACCTCAACCAAACGTTTCCTGTAGTTGCAGATCAGACCTGCACAACGATCTGGAGTCATTTTTGACCACTCCTCTTCACAAAACTGTTTCAGTGTAGCAATATTCTTGGGATGTCTGGTGTGAATCGCTCTCTTAAGGTCATGCCACAGCATTTCAATCGGGTTGAGGTCAGGACTCTGACTGGGCCACTCCAGAAGGTGTATTCTGTGCTGTTGCAGCCATTGTTTTGTTGAATTACTTGTATGCTTTGGGTCATTGTCCTGTTGCATCACCCATCCTCTGCGGAGCTTCAGTTGACGGACAGATGGTCGTACGTTTTCCTGCAAAATGTCTTGATGAACTCTGAAATTCATTTTCCCATCAATGACAACAATCCGTCCAGGCCCTGAGGCAGCAAAGCAGCCCCAAACCATGATGCTCCCTCCGCCATGTTTTACAGTGGGGATGAGGTTTTGATGTTGGTGTGTTGTGCCTTTTTTCTCCACACAGTGTTGTGTGTTCTTCCCAAACAACTCAATCTTGGTTTCATCTGTCCACAGTATATTTTGCCAGTAGTGCTGTGGAACATCCAGGTGCTCTTTTGCAAACTTCAATATGCTGCAATATTCTTTTTGGACAGCAATGGCTTCCTCCGTGGTGTCCTCCCATGTACTCCATTCTTGTTTAATGTTTTCCTTATTGTAGATGTGTCAACAAAAATGTTAGCACGTGCCAGAGATTTCTGTAGGTCTTTAGCTGACACTCTGGGATTCTTCTTTACCTCATGCAGCATTCTGCGCTGTGCTCTTGCAGTCATTTTTACAGGACGACCGCGCCTAGGGAGAGTAGCAACAGTGCTAAATTTTCTCCATTTGTAGACAGTCTGTCTTACCGTGGACACATGAACATCAAGGCTTTTGGAGATACTTTTGTAACCCTTTCCAGCTTCATGCAAGTCAACAATTCTTGATCGTAGGTCTTCTGAGAGCTCTTTTCTGCGAGGCATGGTTCACATCAGACAGTGCTTCTTGAAACCAGTAAACCCAAAACAGGTGTGTGTTTTTTAAGGGCAGGACAGCTGTCAGCAACACATCCAATATCATCACACTGATTGGAGTCAAGGTTGGCTCACTCCTGGCTCCAATTAGCTCTGGGAGAAGTCATTAAGCTAGGGCCTCACATACTTTTTCCTCCCTGCACTGTGAATGTTTATATGTTATGTGCAATTAAACCATGGCAACATCTAACGTTTGTGTAGTATTATGTTCAGCAGACTGTGTTCTTCTATTGTTGTGACTTAGATGACGTTCAGAGCACATTTTATGCCCAATTCATGCAAAACTCCACGTAATCCCAAGGGGTTCACATACTTTTTCTTGCAACTGTATATGTATCTCTATTTGGTTTTTTATGTGTGCCTTCAACACTGTTACAGTACTCTCGCCCACAGATCCTAGTTAGATAGTGACAAATGGGGGCCAGTAGGAGGGACTCTCAATCACATAATCACTGTGATATCCAGTCACAATTGTGACATGATCAGGAAAGCCATGTAGTCAAAATGTGCATCATTTGTGGGCCCTACTTCAGGTACAAACAACAAATGTAAGTCGTCACAAGTTGAAATATTCATTTTGGGTTGTGTTTTGTAGTCTGTGATTGTAATGACAATATATATATATATATATATGTAGCACAGTGGCTACATGGTTAGCACTTCCGCCTGGCAGTACTAGGGTCGAATCCCAACCACGGGACCACTTGCCTGGAGTTTGCATGTTCTCCCTGTGCCTGCGTGGGTTTCCTCTGGGTGTTCCGCTTTCCTCCCACACTCCAAAGACATGCTGGGAGGTGAAATTTAGCCCTAATATGTATGAATGTAAGTTAGGGACCTTAGATTGTACGCCCCTTGAGGGTTAGGGACTGATGTGAATGTGCAATATATGTAAAGCTCTGCAAAATTGCTGGTGCTATATAAGTACCAGAAACGAAAAAAAAAAAAATTATATATATATATAAAATTTTTTTTTTTTTTTTTTAAGTGGGTCCCACTGCAGACGTAGTTTTTGCCTAGAGTGGGGGTTTAAGGTTTGTTTTACCTTCTGCATTAAGGGGTTATTATTTCAGCAAAAGAGCAAGAATATTCTATAAAAATGCAATATCACTTGACTGTAATCAGAAATGCAAAATCTGGACTGACTCTTGTAAGTTCCTGACTTCCACACATCACTGGTCTCTGCACTGTCTGTTCTCATAAACCTGAATGGGGTTTAAGAACAGATTTACATCCCAGGCTCTAATTTATTAAGACCTTTGAGAGACTGCAGGCAGTCTGTGTAAATCTTTGTATAGATAGATAAATTGAGTCATTTACTTTCTTATGTATTCCGAAAAATTCTTCTTTTACAGGCTGCACTGAAAAAAAACTGTAGAACATCACTTCTCAAAGCTTATTATTCTTCTCTAGAGGATGAAAGGCAAGTTGTCAGTCATTTTTAACCCACCTACAGGCAGAGATGCTATATTATTCCTTAAGAATTGATCTCTCTTGATTGCCTGATGTATTTTGATGCCTCGTTGTTTAGGGCTCATTCAAGTACATGGCTAGAATATTTTGTGGCTGTCTCATTACGTGCCTCTTTGGTACACTTGGATCTATCGCATTGTGTTTTAGACACAGTGGGGTTGATTTACTAAAGGCAAATAAACTGTGCACTTTGCAAAGTGCAGTTGCATTCTGCAAGAGCAGTTGCTCCAGAGTTTAGTAAATGAACAGAAGCACTGCTGATTTTCATCATCCAATGATGTGCAAGCCAAAATGCTATTTTTTCTCCCTTGTATGTGATTGAGTATTCTTTGCAAAGTGAATCTTTACCTCATTTACAAAGCTCTGGAGCAACTCCTCTTGTAAGAGTGCAGCTGCACTTTGCAAAGTGCACAGTCTATTTGAATTCAGTAAATCAACCTCATGCATTACATACTCCTTACTTCTGCACTCTGTGTGTTACCTGATTCTAATACCTGACCTGTACCCTGTGTGTCCTTTACTCCTGACCCCTATACTCTGTGCATTACTTACTCTTGACCCCTGTTATCTGTGCTTTATTTACTCCTGAACTCTGTACGTTATGTACTCTTAACCTCTGTACTCTGTGTGGTGGATTTGCTAAAGGCAAAAAGACTGTGTACTTTGCAAGTGCAGTTGCTCCAGAGTTTAATAAATGAGGTAAAACTTCACTTTGAAAAGAATACCCAATCACATGTAAGGAAATTAAAAAAAAAAACAGAATTTCTGCTTGCACATGATTGGATGAGGGAAGTGCACAGTCTATTTTCCTTTAATAAATCAGCCTCACTAGGAACACTGTGGTAACATTGCATGCAAAGGGCCTTTGCAAACAGTATTGTTATATTAAAGCTTTATAGATGAATAAGGAAGACATTATTAGGGATGAGCAAAATGATTTTGGCAAAATTGATTTTGCCATGGAATACAGATTTGCTGTGAAATTGCCTCTCTACCTGTCAAGACTGCTGGATGAGTGTTTTTTTGATGGTGTGTTTAGGGTAGTTTAGTTTATTACATTTGCTTGAAATATATATTTTTCACAAAACTCTCAGGATATACAGTACATATTTTTTTCCAATTGAATTCCATTAGACAGATGTGTAAATCTTGGGTGAAATTTGTATGAAACTTGTGAAAGCATTTAAAAAAAATATACTCCTAAGTTTACTTAATATTTTGTGTTTTTGTGTCCTTTTTTGTGTGTTTGATTAATTGTGTACTGTTGCTTTAAACTTCTTCTTTTACTTTTTTCAACGTCCATTTTTCACTGGCTGTAAAAAATAATTAACTAAAAATAAAAAATAACGAGGCAAATAAGTGGTGTTTTATGGCATAAGAATAGGATCCCTAAAAAAGAGATTTTGTAACTCTCAGGAGAAATTTAAAGCTCATTACATCCTACAAAACCAACGTAAAGCTGAACTCCAGTCAAAAATTTTATTGGACCACTTGACCTCCGGAAGGTTTTCTCCCTTCATGACCAGGCATTTTTTTGCTATTCAGCACTGTGCTAATTTAAATGGCAATTGCGCATTCATGCAGCACTGTACCCAAATTATATTTTTCTTTTTTTTACACAAATAGAGCTTTCTTTTGGTGGTATTGGAACACCACTGGATGTTTACTTTTTTATTATACACACCCCTGTTAAAATGTCAGGTTTCTGTGATGTAAAAAAAATGAGAGAAAAATAAATCATTTCAGAACTTTTTCCACCTTTATTGTGACCTATAAACTGAACAACTCAATTGAAAAACAAACTGAAATCTCTTAGGGGGGGGAAGTAAACATAAAAAAAAACTAAAATAATGTGGTTGCATAAGTGTGCACACCCTCTAACTGGGGATGTAGCTGTGTTCAGAATTAAGCAATCACATTCAAAATCATATTAAATAGGAGACAGTATACAACTGCCATCATTTAAAGTGCCTCTGAATAACCCCAAATAAAGTTCAGCTGTTCTAGTAGGTCTTTCCTGACATTTTCTTAGTCGCATCCTACTGCAAAAGTCATGGTCCGCAGAGAGCTTCCAAAGCATCAGAGGGATCTCATTGTTAAAACGTATCAGGAGAAGGGTACAAAAGAATTTCCAAGGCATTAGATATACCATGGAACACAGTGAAGACAGTCATCATCAAAATATGGCACAACAGTGACATTACCAAAAACTGGACGCCCCTCCAAAATTGATGAAAAGACGAGAAGAAAACTGGTCTGGGAGGCTGCCAAGAGGCCTACAGCAACATTAAAGAAGCTTCAGGAATATCTGGCAAGTACTGGATGTGTGGTGCATGTGACAACAATCTCCAGTATTCTTCATATGTTTGGGCTATGGGGTAGAGTGGCAAGATGGAAGCCTTTTCTTATGAAGAAAAACATCCAAGCCCAGATAAAATTTGCAAAAACACATCTGAAGTCTCCCACAAGCATGTGTGAAAATGTGTTATAGTCTGATGAAACCTAAGGGTCAACATTTTGGCCATAATTCCAAAGTTATGTTTGGCGCAAAAACAACGCTGCACATCACCAACAGAACACCATACCCATAGTGAAGTATGGTGGTGGCAGCATCATGCTTTGGGGCTGTTTTTCTTCACCTGGAACTGAGGCCTTAGTCAAGGTAGAGGGAATAATGAACAGTTCCAAATACCAGTCAATATTGACACTAAACCTTCAGGCTTCTGCTAGAAAGCTGAACATGAAGAGAAACTTAATCTTTCAGCATGACAACGACCCAAATCATACATCCAAATCAACAAAGGAATGGCTTTACCAGAAGAAGATGAGAGTTTTGGAATGGCCCAGCCAAAGCCCAGACCTGAATCCGATGGAAAATCTGTGGGGTGCTCTGAAGAGGGCTGTGCACAGGAGATGCCCTCGCAACAGATTTGGAATGTTTTTGCAAGGAAGAGTGGACAAATATTGCCAAGTCAAGATGTGCCATGCTGATAGACTCATACCCAAAAAGACTGAGTGCTGGAATCAAATCAAAAGGGGCTTTTGATCAACAAAGTATTAGTATAAGGGTGTGCACACTTATGCAACCATATTATTTTAGTTTTTTATTTTTTACTTCACTCAACCTAAAAGATTTCAGTTTGTTGTTCAACTGAGTTGTACAATTTATAGGTCACATTAAAGGTGGAAAAAGTTCTGAAATTATTTATCTTTGTCTCATTTTTTTTACATCACAGAAACCTGACATTTTAACAGGGTGTGTAGGCTTTTTATATCCACTGTATAAATTGAAAAAGACTGAAAATTATGAAAATAAATAAATATCCAATAAAAAAAAAACAAAATTCTTCATAAATTGAGGCCAAAATGTATTCTGCTACGTCTTTGGCAAAAAAAAAAATCCCAGTATGTGTATATTAATTGGTTTGTGTGAAAGTTATAGTGTCTACAAACTATAGTAAATATACAGGAATTTACACAGCTATACAGTAGACACTACACTGAGCGCTGAGCAAACCCTTTGGCGCTATATAAATACTGTATAATAATAATAATAATGACGGTGATCAGCAACTTATAGTGGGACTGTGAGAGTGTAGTGGACAATCTGGCGCTAACCGATGCTGTCTTGGAGGGACACTAACTGACAATGACGTCGCCAGTGACATTAATACAGTGATCAGTGATAATACTGTACACTGTATGCTGTACTAATAACACTAGCTGGGTGATGGGTGATCAGGAGGGAAATCAAGGTGTTACCTGTGTGCTGAGTTTAGTAACATATTGCTGTTCTGTGATTGGCCACAGACGATCAGCTGGTATACAGCAAAAATCATTGGCTGTAACCTGCTAACAGACTTGTGCTGTAGCCAATCACAGCATAGATTGATAAGGGGCATGCACACGTGCCCAAAACCCAGAAGCAAGCCCTCGATGTACTGGTATATGATGGTGCCTTCCTGTGCCGCCCGCTTGCAGTAACTGTACTGTGGGTGGTCAGCAAGAGGTTAAATATAAACCTCAATATCCACAAAGGATATAAATGATCTTTTTGGTCACCTTTTCAGTTCCTTTTAAAGCCCAAATATTACCTTGTAACCGTAGCAGTGACATCATCACTGTGCTGTACATAACAGCTATGGGAGGGTCCCAGCAGGATCCACCCACTACAGGCTGTCTGGAGAAAACTACAGGAGGGGACGGAGACAAAACCAGTCACCCTGCACATGGAGAGAGAGTAGCTGTGATCTGTCTTTATTACTGGAAGCTCCTACTGCACACACTGGATTACTGGACATATCTGGAATACATAAGAATAGTGCAGCGCTTCTATATTGAGGTTTATTTGGTTACCTTGAGTGTACAGCTGCTGGACTGAATAGCGCTCGCTTTATACTTTGTTTGTTTACTTGATATCTGGAATACATACTCAAAGCACACCAAGATTTAAATGTGAATACACATGCCTCTTATATTTACACATTTGCATATTCCCAAATTCAGCTTTAATTTGGCCTTCCCTAATGACTCCTATGCATTTTGGTGCAAGCTTGTGCCTTCCATTTCACGCCTACTTGGACCCTTATCACAAGGCGATTTCCCTGAATAAAGATAGAAATAGGTGCTAACATTATTTATCTTCGCTAGCTGTAAAATATGGTATCATAATCTATGTAGGTACATTTACTGCATTGGGTTTAGTCTTTGGTGGGTTATTTGTACCTGCATGTCTAAAGTAATTTTTTACTACAGCATTCAAATTGATTATAAGATTATAGAGATGAATGGATTGATGTACAAAAGGAGTTGAGTCTTCACTCAGAAAATGGTGTGAGTATTTATGTTAATTATCCAATTATGTGAAATGCACCTTCGCATGATTGGTTATTCAAATAAAAAAAAACAGGTATTTGCGTTGCCTTTGATTGGGTAATTGAAGTGAATAGTCACAGAATGTGTTGAGTGAAGAATCTCAAATACATTAAAGGATAAGTTGACCTTTGGGAACATTTTTAGGGTGGAACATGTTAGGGTCCTTTCACACGGGACAGACCCGTTTAGCGGATCCGCTTACTCAGCGGGGGATCTCTCTGCTGATCTCCGCTGATCAAGCAGATAACAGCTCTGTGTTTGTTTTGCTGCTGCAGAGCAGACACAGAGCTGCTTACTCTCCTCAATGGGCGGACAGTTGAAAACGAACTGCCTGTCCGTTTTCATCCGATCTGATCCAATGCCTGGAAGGGGAATTGGATCTCCATACGTCCCTTTTTTGGCATATCGGATCGGATGTTGGTGGGTGTAAACATATGCATGTCCAGTTACACCCATGCTCCATAGAGGATAATGGAGGTTCCAAGCAGGTCCGCCTGAAAAACAGGAAGGCGGACCTGATCGGAACGTCCATGTGAAAGAGACCTAACCTGTTCCCACCACTGCAACCATTGTCGTCGTCTCCCCTCCCCCCCGTGACAGCAGTACGGGCAGAAGTTCCAACATAATTCATTCACAGAATTCTGTAAATGAATAAACTACAAGTCCCGACAGCCTCTGCGGCTGTCGGCTTGTAGTTTTCATTGAACTACCACACGGCTCTGTAGAGCGCCGTGGTGGTTCATTGAGTCTTCCTGTCAGACTATATCTGCTTGCCCATATGGGATGTATATGCACACAGATACATTGACAGTTTGCAGGAGTTCTGCATGGCACCAGCGATCTAAAATAATTAAAAGTAAATGCACATTTTTTTACCTACAAAAAAATGGGCATTTTTTATTTTAATTTTTTTAAAATGAACTTATCCTTTAACAAAGCAGCCCCAAAATGTCAACGTTGCACCTATTTAGACAGCAGTTGATTTGGATGCACCTGTCTCATTGACCTGCAGTAGTGTTTACTCACATCCTTCCTTTGTATAGAATTAGCCCAGGTCATTTTGTTTGTTTCTTTCTCAGCAAATCTGGAGTTTCACTTTAATCTGCTTTTGCTATCTTTACCAGGTTTGATCTCATGCTTGAAAAAATTCGAACAGTCATTAATGATGACACCAGATACATCAGAGGATGCCTCAATATGAGAACTCAGAAGTGTTATGCAGTTAAACCGAACATCAGCGAGTTCCTCGACATTGCCCGAAGGACATATGCAGAGATCGTTGACGACATTGCTGGTATTGTTTAAAAGCTCTGAGAGCTCCTTCTCTTTCTATATCATCATTCATGTCCTCAGGCTTATGTCATAGAGCATGTATATTTGTGTCAGAGTTTATTGAAATTTTTTTTATTATTAGCAGTTTAAAGTTTTCCACCTAAGGTTTGGTTTACATATATGCATTTTGCGTTTGATGCTTTTTCCAGTGCTTGTTGCAGTTTGTTTTGCGTTTTTCTACACACGTTTTTGATGCATTTTTGACATGTTTTTAACTCATTTTGCATTTTGTTCAGCTTTTTGTTTGTTAAAGTGGAATTTATTTGTTGCTGGGCAGAATAAAAATGCAAAACACAGCAAAAACGTACTATCATGCACTTCAGTAGCTTCTTCATTGAACTCTATTGTAGCAAAAATGCTGCTTTTTGCTTTTAAAAAAGTCCCTGACCTTTCCAAAAATGTAGCAGCTCAAAAAAGTATAGATGTGAACATGTTCCATAGGAAACCATGTTAAATGGACTGTTGTGCATTTCTGTAAAAAGCACAAAAAAATGTGTTGGTGTGAACAGAGCCTAAAGGGGAGAAGTTATCTTTTTTAGTATAGTGGGCAGCTAGTTAATAACCTGGAGCTCTGGGCATTTCTTTGTATCCAAACTGCTTTTTTAAGTTAAAGAGAATGCAAAAGAAACAGCAGATAAGGAAGTCAGAAGTAGTTCAGAAGGAACTCAGGAGCATCTTAAATGCAGACTGAATGCTCTGTGAATGCACAACTAGCTTTATCTATATGTGACCAATCCAGCCTACATGGTGCCAACCAGTATGGGGGCTTGTAACGTACATGTGAATGATGTAACGTGCATGTGACATAAATGTACAGATTTGAGTAGGTAAGATGTGATCAGTAGCAATATGTAATCGTAACTGTAGGGACATTCCATTGTCATTAAGGATGTATATTCTGTAGGGACATTCCATTGTTATTAAGGATGTATATTCAGTCCTTGTCATTGGGGAAATGAGGTACAATTAGCATCAATTAGGCTGAAAAGCCTGGCTTCAGGGATGTGACACCTTTTGTGTTAATAAGGTTGTCACCTTCTGGAGAAACCAGTTCAAAGGAAGTAGCTCCAGACATTCCAGCTTCATGACAGCAGGGAGCTAAAAAGGTATACCCATACATCAAAACAGGTATGCTTAACCATTAGCCGCCTGGCCAATGGCCGTATGGCGGCTTCAAAAGTGCTTCGGCATTCCAGGTGCACGCCATTTGGCATGCTCCCGCACATGCGCAGTTTGCGCTCCTGCAGAGCCGCGCAGCGGCGTGATCTGTCACCGGCCGTGTACCTCGGACACGGCCGATGACAGATCTGAGTACCGGCCCCCGTTGCTGGTACCATGTGACCTGCTGTGACCAATCACAGCAGGTCACATGACAGTTGTATACAATGGATGGATTCATTCATGCCATCCATTGTATACTAGTGCCTAGCTGTGAATGGTCACAGCTAATCACATGCACATGTCATGTGATTAGCTGTGACCAAATCACAGCTAAGCACAAAAAAAAAAAAAAAAAAAAAACCTGAATGAATCGATTTCATTCAGGTAAATGCTTGCTTATAGCAAAGTAATTCTTTGCTATAAGCAAATTGTGTAAAAAAAAAAAAAAATACTGATCACTTCCCCAAAGTAGTACAATGTTACTATGGTAACATTGTACTACTTTGGTCATAGTAAAATATGAAAAAAAAATCTTAAAAAAATAAAAAAAATAAAAAAATCAAAAATAATAAAAAAATAAAAAAAAATATAAATATATATTTTTTTTCATACTGTCACCAGTCAGTGTCCCTGTTCACCGCCATGACAGTTATATGATGACGCTGTACTGCACTGGTGACAGTATGTAAAAAAAAAAATAGTGAAAATAATTTTTTTAATTTTTTATTTTCTGAAAAATTATGACAAAAAAAAATACAACTTCAAAAAACTCGCCATTCCTCCTATGAAGTAAGTCGGACTGTCTGCTCTGCAAAAAGGGGTCATTTGGGGGATATCTGTACTATTCTGACATTCTTGGACCTCAAGAAATTAGATTGGCTGTCAGTACTTCAGGATTGATCAATTTTCAGATCTATACCATAGTTTGTGAACTCTATAACCTTCCTACAAACTAAATCATACATCCTAATTTGGGTTATTTTCACCAAAGACATGTAGCAGAATACATCTCGGCCTAAATTTATGAAGAACAATTATTTATTTGTAAACTTTTATAACAGAAACAAAGAAAAATGTGTTTTTTTTTCAACATTTTTGGTCTTTTTTTGTTAATTTAGCAAAAAATAAAAACCCCAGCGGTGATTAAATACCACCAAAAGAAAGCTCTAGTTGTGTGAAGAAAATGATAAAATTTTAGATGGGTACATTGTTGTATGACCGCGCAATTGTCATTCAAAGTGTGAGAGCGCTGAAACGTGAAAAATGGCCTGGGCAGGAAGGTGTAAAATTGCACGGTATTGAAATGGTTAATCTCTCATAAAAGCTAAAATATTAGTTGCAGAGAGATGAACATGCTCCCTTCTTGTGGGGCATTCGGTAGGCTGCATCGGCACGAAAAATCATATTTGTAGTTTAGACAGGCCAGGAAAATGCAGGAAATGGTTAGGTGGCGCTGGATGGTGACAGTCGAATGGTGTTTGGTACTGTCGCGATCGGACTGATGTGCTGGTGTTGGAAATCCAATCCCCGACTTGGTGTTTCAAGATGGTCTTGGCCCAATTGAACTTGGGCAGGTCAACACCCAGAACTTCCTGTGGACAGGTACAGGAACACCCCCCCATGGTCAATTGGCCGAGGACTAATGTCCCGCCTACGTCCATATCCCCGTAAATGGGGTACCCGGACACTGGGACATTGGCGATTCGTACAGAGCTGGTTCGATAGACCAGCGAATTGCTGATTCTCTGACTTGCTCCAGTCGCAGGGTAAATACTGGTAAAGTTTTTTACTTCTGTCTTTTATTCCCTTTTATTTTATAGTAATTAGTCATTTGTGTGTCATCTTGTATTTTTGTATTTCTGTAACTTTTTATATTTTTGTACATTTTTTATGCACTGCCCACTTCCGGGAAATTAAATCTTAAAATTAATTAGTGACTTCTGTGTATTTAAGCACGTGCTCATATCTTCGGAGAGATTGGATTGGAGAGATTAGATTGGATTGTATTTTAGTGCCTTTAAACGCACGGTCAAGCTCATTGCCAATCTGTATGCAATTGCACTGTGTGTGGACAGTGGAAGAGTGATTAACACCGGTGTTCAAGCTGTAGGATAGCTGGAGGGACCTTGGAGGGGTGTGTAATTACTAAGCAGGTCCTCAACTCTGATCAGTGCATCAGATTGTATGTAAGATTTGTATCTGCCAGTGTGTGGTCGACCAGCTGGATTGGAGTGGAGTCTTCATCTGGTGGTGGCCAAAGGTAGTGCGGGCTGTGAAAGTGTGTCACGGCTAATCTTATATACGGTTTTATATATATTCAAAGCTAAGTCCCCTTTATTTCCTCGTACCCCCTGTCACGGCCGCACGTGCACGCCTCGGTTAGCTAGTCGCTGTGGGCGTGGCGTGTGGGGGATCCGTGACAGGGCTCCTTCATCAAATTTCCTGTTAGTAAGGACGGTGTTGGATCCATGGACAGCTAAGTGTCCTATTATTTGAAGTCAGCAGTTACAGTAGTTGTAGATGCTGACGTTTAACATTTTTTTTTATAAAAAAAGAATTCCTGTTGGTACACCATTCGTCTCCTTAGCATGTAAACCACCATATACTTTATTTTTACTGCAGACTCCAGCAATGGTCACTAAGAAGCAGGCAGTGGGAACTACACATCCTGTGACTTACGCAGGCCATAGACAGGTCGTTTATCGGCCAATTTTTCATCCGCATGCTGGAAAATCCAAGAAAAACGGCTGTTTTTCGCGGACGATGGTGGCAGCATCGGCAACGCCGCCGACCGATTTTTTGTTTATCGGCTAATACACGGCCTGTCTATGGCCTGCATAATGCTTCACAACGGAGTTGTTAAAAAATCAGTGACCTAACCCAACCCTCCCCTCCTAGATGTATACTTATCTCACAGCCTCTGGTACTTGTTTACATCCTGGTTGCACTTATGCATTTCAGCCTCTTGGAATTCTATGGGGTTGTCTTTCTTCGTCTCTGGCCTCAAGACAAAGCCCCATAGACATTTATAAGGTTGTAGTACACAGGCACAGCCAGGAAGTGGAGGCTTGTGGCACTCTAAACAATTACTGGAGGCCACGACCGCTGAATCTAGGTAAGTATGCATTTATGAAGAGAGGGGGTAGTTTCAATCAGGGCAAATAGGGTAAATGTAGTTTATCTAAGTCGGTCAGGAATTCCGGGGCTACTCGTCCTAAAGTGACATGAGGCAGACCATCACAAGTCCAGTAGATTGTGATCAAAGTCTCTGGGGAGTAATGCAGAAATCCAAGGGTCCCAAACTTGATAGAATTTGGGAATGGTATTTTGGAATCCTGCTGGTAATTTTTCATTTTATCAGGGTCCAGTGGACGAAGATTCATCTTCCGACATAAGGGATATACTGGACAACCAGGGCTTTGCCTTCACTTGTTTTATAGGTGTGAGGATATGAGTCATAAGGGTGAAGTGGTATTTAGAGCTCCCATCAGTTATGTGATTAAGTAAGGTCTCAAATGGGTTCAGAATGGGGGCCAGGCGAAAGAAAATGCATAGGAGTTGGTACACTTGCTGCCAAAAATGCAGGGCTATTAGGCAGGTCCACCAGTTGTGTAGAAAGGAACCAGTATCCAGACCGCCATGAAATAAGTGTGCAGAAGGGACAGCAGAAACATGTCCCAGCGCTAAGGACCATGTACCACTGAAGCAGCTATTTGTAATTGGTTTGCACAACCGCTGCATTACAGGAACAGGATTGTGTGGTGGCCCAGATCCTGTGCAGTTTTTCATTTGGATTATGGATCACCCCCCCCCCTCCTTTCTTTATCTCCATAGCATAAGTAGGAGATGTTCTGTAGTTCAGCAGGGGAGAATTTAGCAGGGCTGGCAACACTGTTGACAAGTCTTTCAGCGCAAAACAGATTTTTGTTGTCAGCTCAATACTGGAAGTTGGGACTTCACTAGATTTCTGGTAGGATCTACAGGTATTTTTTTTTTTTTTTTTTACTCTTTTTATGGATAAAGATTCAGTTCAGTGGTACAAGAAACATACCGCTCAACATGAGCAGATTGTAATACAAATTTCAGTTTACTGACATGGAAACAAACATATACAGTAAATGCAAATACACAATATTTCATGACAATTACACTCAGCAGTGTCATTGATCAGTTGCCTTCCTGAAATCCCTCTTATTACTTGCAGTACTTTTAAAGAGACAAAACTTGGGGAAGCATGCATATATCGAAGAGATGTAAAGAACAATATGTTTTTATTTTGCCAAGACATTCAATTTAAAGGCTTTAAATGAATATACAGTAAGGAACAGAAGTATTTGAACACCCTGCGATTTTGGAAGTTCTCCCACTTATAAATCATGGAGGGGTCTGAAATTCACATTGTAGGTGCATTTACACTCTGAGAGACAGAATTAAAAAAAAAATTCAGGAAATCATATTGTATGATTACATAAGTATTTGAGCACCTGAGAAAATCAGTGTTAATATTTGGTACAGAAGCCTTTGTTTGCAATTACAGAGGTCAAACGTTTCCTGTAGTTCTTGACCAGGTTTGCACACGCTGCAACAGGGATTTTGGCCCACTCCTCCACACAGATCTCCTCTAGATCTGTTAGGTTTCAGGGCTGTTGCAGAGCAACACAGAGTTTCAGCTCCCTCCAAAGATGTTCTATTGGATTTAGGTCTGGAGACTGGCTAGGCCACTCCAGAACCTTGATATGCTTCTTACGGGGCCACTCCTTGGTTATCCTGGCTGTGTGCTTCGGGTCGTTGTCATGTTGGAAGACCCAGCCACGACCCATCTTCAATGCTCTGACGGAGGGAAGGAGGTTGTTGCTCAAAATCTCACAATAAATGGTCCCATTCATCCTCTCCTTAATACAGTGCAGTTGTCCTGTCCCCTTTGCAGAAAAGCACCCCCAAAGCATGATGTTACCACCCCCATGCTTCACAGTAGGGATGGTGTTCTTGGGATGCAACTCATCCTTTTTCCTCCAAACACGACGAGTGAAGTTTAGACCAAAAAAGTTCTACTTTGGTCTCATCTGACCACCTGACTTTCTCCCATGCCTCCTCTGGATCATCCAGATGGTCATTGGCAAACTTCAGACGGGCCTGGACGTGTGATAACTTGAGCAGGGGAACCTTCTGTGCAATGCATGATTTGAACCCATGACGGCGTAGTGTTCTACCGACAGTGACCTTTGAAACTGTGGTCCCAGCTCTCTTCATGTCACTGACCAGCTCCTCCCTTGTAGTTCTGGGCTGATTCCTCACCCTTCTTATCATCAGTGATACCCCACGAGGTGAGATCTTGCATGGAGCCCCAGTCCGAGGGAGACTGACAGTCGTCTTTAGCCTCTTCCATTTTCTTACAATTGCTCCAACAGTTGATCTATTTTCACCAAGCTGCTTGGCAATTGCCCCGTAGCCCTTTCCAGCCTTGTGGAGGTCCATAGTTTTGTCTCTGGTGTCTTTTGACAGCTCTTTGATTTTGCCCATGGTAGTAGTTGGCGTCTGACTGACTGTGGGGTGGACAGGTGTCTTTAAAGAGCTCAGACAGGTGCTACTAAGTTAGATTATTGAGTGGAGTAGAGGTGGACTTTTTAAAGGCACAGTAACAGGTCTTTGAGAGCCAGAATTCTTGCTGTTTCTTAGGTGTTCAAATACTTATGTTCAGCAGTGCAAAACAAATGCATTCTTTAAAAATCATACAATGTGATTTCCTGATTTTTTTTTTTTTTTATTCTGTCTCTCAGAGTGGGAATGCACCTACAATGTGAATGTCAGACCCCTCCATGATTTCTAAGTGGGAGAACCTGCAAAGGGTGTTCAAATACTTCTGTTCCTCACTGTATGTTTATTGTAACACCAAGCCTTCATGATTTGAATACACTAATGAAAGAATTGTGCAACAAGATTAGAGTTCCAATGGTCCCAGTCATGTGACCACTGCCATTTTATTTCTTCGATGACTTTTAACCATTTCAATACCGTGCACTTTTACCCCCTTCCTGCCCAGGCTATTTTTCACGTTTCAGCGCTCTCACACTTTACTTTAAATGACAATTGCGCGGTCATACAACATTGTACCCAAACTAAAATTTTTATCATTTTCTTCACACAACTAGAGCTTTCTTTTGGTGGTATTTAATCACCGCTGGGGTTTAATTTTTTGCTAAATTAACAAAAAAAGACCAAAAATTTTGAAAAAAAAACCACGATTTTCTTTGTTTCTGTTATAAAAGTTTACAAATAAATAATTGTTCTTCATAAATTTAGGCCGAGATGTATTCTGCTACATGTCTTTGGTGAAAGTAACCCAAATTAGGATGTATTATTTAGTTTGTAGGAAGGTTATAGAGTTCACAAACTATGGTATAGATCTGATTATTGATCAATCCTGAAGTACTGACAGCCAATCTAATTTCTTGAGGTCCAAGAATGTCAGAATAGTACAGATATCCCCAAATGACCCCTTTTTGCAGAGTAGACAGTCCGACATACTTCATAAGAGGAATGGCGAGTTTTCTGAAGTTGTATTTCTTTTGTCATAATTTTTCGGAAAATGAAAAAATTAAAAAAATTATTTTCACTATTTTTTTTTTTTTTTTACATACTGTCACCAGTGCAGTACAGCGTCATCATATAACTGGCATGGCGGTGAACAGGGACACTGACTGGTGACAGTATGAAAAAAAAAAATATATATTTTTTTTTTACATTTTGTTTTATTTTTTTATTATTTTAATTTTTTATTACATTTTTTTTATTTTTTTTTAAGATTTTTTTTTTAAGATTTTACTATGACCAAAGTAGTACAATGTTACCATACTAACATTGTACTACTTTGGGGAAGTTATCAGTATTTTTTTTTTTTTTTTTTTTTTTTTTTTACACAATTTGCTTATAGCAAAGAATTACTTTGCTATAAGCAAGCATTTATCTGAATGAAATCGATTCATTCAGGTTTTTTTTTTTTTTTTTTTTTGTGCTTAGCTGTGATTTGGTCACAGCCAATCACATGACATGTGCATGTGATTAGCTGTGACCATTCACAGCTAGGCACTAGTATACAATGGATGGCATGAATGAATCCATCCATTGTATACAACTGTCATGTGACCTGCTGTGATTGGTCACAGCAGGTCACATGGTACCAGCAACGGGGGCCGGTACTCAGATCTGTCATCGGCCGTGTCCGAGGTACACGGCCGGTGACAGATCATGCTGCTGCACGGCTCTGCATTAGCGGATGTGCGGGAGCACGCCAAATGGTGTGCACCCGGAATGCCAAAGCACTTTTGAAGCCGCCAAACGGCCATTGGCCGGGCGGCTAATGGTTAAAGAGGAAATTCAGCCAGAAAAGAAGGGGTTTTAGTTTTGGAAAGAGTGGGGAAGGTTTAAAGTCGCTGTTGAGTTTTTATTGGTGTGTGACCATTAGTAAGATTTCTGCTCCCAGTGGGGATGAGGAAAGCAGTTACAACTCTGTTTTAGTATGAATAGGAAGGTGTTTGCTGCTGGCTTCAATTGAAAAGTTTGCCTTTTATTTCCTAAGGAGTTAGTGAGACAGAAGGCTAGGAGAAATGCCCTCAGTAATGACCACAAAAAATAGAAACCTGTTAAAAACTCTGACCCTTCACCACTGTGTCCAAAACAATAAAATGCATTTGGCTGGAGTTCTGCACTAAGTTACATTAATATGTATCCATCCAAACAGGCCGATACTAGAAAGAACCATGTTAAAAACCTGCAAAGTTTTATTTTTATACAGGAATGATATCGCAGCTATCTGACAAGTATAACTTGCTGCTAAAAACAAGTTTCAGCACTGCCCGGGGATTCTTCATCCAGATGAATGCTGAAGGAAGTATGCAGCAGTCTCTTCCGGCAGAATTTGTTAAGGTGGTTATTGTTTTTATTTAAACACTACGATTGGAAAGGTGTTTTGGTCCATTACAAATAATAGAATAAGTGTACCTTTATGAAACAATTTTTTTTTAAATATATGTTCTCTTGCCTCTGATACTAGTTGAGCCATTTAAATGTCAATGCAATCACAGCTAATGATCGTTTTGATCGTCTGAAAATTTCCTAGAAACAATGGTGTCTAGTATGTAAAAACGTACAAAAAGAAAAAATTCCTGAGGAGGAAAGGCAGGTAGGCCTTAGTTGTTTGTTTGATGGAGTTGAACATCTAGAAAAATACTGGAAAGACATGAACGTCTAGAGTGAGGTCAAACTTTCTAAACAAAGGGCCAGTTTACTATCCTTCAGATATTGGAGGAGCTGAACTGTGGTAATTGGGAGTAGATAACGCCCCAATGTCAAGAGGGATGCTGGAGAGACATGAACATTTAGGCCTTATGCATGCTGAGCATTAAAAACGCTGCTTTTAGGGGCGTCTGGCGCCTTTCTTCTTCTGCCTCTAAACAGCCCTCCATGTTAGTCTATGTGTCCATACACACATAGGCATTTAGAGGCAGAAAAAAAACCACTGCCAGCACATCTAGGAGCAGCACCGTTTTGGCAGAAAAAAAATCCTTGCCATCAATGTCTTTACATTTTTATTCTGGCCAATGAAATTAACACCCAAGCACTTAACGTGCCTAAACACGCCAAACTTTTTCTTTTGCCAAAACGCTGCTGCCACGAGGAAAGGAGTTTAGGAGAGCTGGGCAAGCGCCCTGTGTGCATGAGACTTTAGAGGGATGCTGGAGAAACATGAACATAGTGGGATGATATAAAATATGAACATATGAAGGGATGCTGCAGTAACATCAACTTCCAAAGGGTTTCTGTGGAGATAAGAACATCTAGGGCAGGATTTCTCAACTAGGGTTCCTCCAGAGGTTCCTAGGGGTTCTTTAAGCAATGAGCACTTTCTGAGTCTCAGATAACTAACCACTGATGCCAGTAATCATTTATGCTATCTATAAAGAAGGTTCTTCCCACTGATTACAAATGTTAGGAACATTCTTCCCTCTGACCATCATGATGTACTGTGTGTAGCAGATATAGTAATTATTAGCAGGTGATTCCCAGAGACTGAATGTCTATTTCAAGAGTTCCTGCTTGTTATAAGGGTTGAGAAAGGCTGATCTAGAGGGATTCTGAAGAAACCTGAAAATCTAGAGCAATGCAAGAAAAACCTGAACATCTACAGGGATACTGAAGAAGCATGGACTTCTAGAGGAATACTGGAGAAACATGAACATCTAAAACAATCCTGGAGAAACCTGAGCATCTATAGGGATGCTGGGGAAATATGAACATCTATAGGGATGTTGAGGAAACATGAACATCTAGAGGGATGCTGGAGAAACATTAAAGTGTTACTAAACCCAGTACCCTGCATTCACTATATCTGGTCTCCCCGGACCCTGCATTCACTATATCTGGTCTCCCCGGACCCTGCATTCACTATATCTGGTCTCCCACAGTGCACAGAACATGGAAATTCAATTATTCTAGTAAATATAAACTTCTAAATACCTTTTCTCAGTTAGAGCAGTCTTGTGACTTCTATCAGTGTCCAGCAGAGCACTGGTTAAAGCTTGTATGAGTAGTTTTCATTCTCCCCTGACTGTCCTATAAGGCTGCATAAACCCTGACCCTCTGTCTGGACAGTGCTGATTGTGCTGATCACATGCACTCTCCCAGAAAAAAAACCTCTCAAGCAATACACACCAATCTGAGCATATGCATCTTGCCCCCAAGGCTCTGTTCCATCAGCAGATGGATTGGAGACAGGATCAGAGAAGACAGGAGCAAACAGCCTTTGCAGAGGATTAACCCCTTAGGTTCCACAGTGAGTATAACAAACACACTTTACTGCATATATAGACTGATTTTTACTGTTGTGGGTTTAGTAACACTAACATCTAGAGGGGTGCTGGAAAAACATGAACATCTAGAGGGGTGCTGGAAAAACATGAACATCTAGAGGGGTGCTGGAGAAACATGAACATCTAGAGGGGTCCTGGAGAAACATGAACATCTAGAGGGGTCCTGGATGAACATGAACATCTAGAGGGGTGCTGGAGGAACATGAACATCTAGAGGGGTGCTGGAGAAACATGAACATCTAGAGGGGTTCTGGAGAAACATGAACATCTAGCAATGAACAATTCTTACCTCTCATATAAGTAGACACTGACAACAATGACCTTTTTTGGTTATCTGTATACGGGGGCATTCCTGCCATGGCAGCCTACCTATTTCTTCTACATAAATATGAAATGACAACCAGCTGCCAGAAGACATTACCCATGTTCGTCCCACATTATTATGCTCCAAGCTTAGCTTGGAGTTTTCTGCAACTGTCTGCTGTCATGGTAGCTTGAAGGCATATGAATGATGCTTGCATATCTAACCACCTTCTAAAGTCTACAGTCAGCCTTAGGGCTTGTATTCATAGCTTTTGTTCCCAATAAAACCGCTTTTCTTGTCCAAATATTCACTGATTATAAGGTCCCGGAGGACCTGGCTTTCTTATTCCTTCATGTCTCTGATATACCTGCCAAAATCAGAAGTCTGTACTTCGTCATTTCCTCAATGCAGCTAAATCCTGTACCACCCTTACCTGGAAGCACCAACCACTGACCGTGGGTCTCTGGCTTAATAAGATAGAAGAACCGAATCTTATGGAAGATCTGGTTCCTCAGCACAGCATAGAGGCATAAAACCTGGACATTGTGGAACATGTTTGAAGAAGGTAAGGCTCTTTTTGACACAAGCTCCAGCAGTTGAGGGAGCTGGGGGTGTCCTTCCCCCATGCAGTCTAGCTCTTCCCCTAACCCCTCCCTTCTCCCTCCCCCTTTTTTTTTGCTCTCTCCCCATTTCTTTTCATCTATTACCTATCTGTTTCTTCTTTCCTTTCCATATAAAATACTAAAATTAAGGTGGTTGTCCTCTGCATTTTAAGTATGCACCATTTTTGCTAATATGGGCTCCACATGGTCAATAATCGGGATCTACCCCTGGTTCACATTGGATTATGTATCCTTGTAAATGATTTGCCAAACCTATATAAGTTTTGGACCTTATACTGTTGTGTTGCACTGCAATCCTTTATATCATATGTATATGGTCACTCCATGTCAAAAGGTGTTCCATAATTAAGTGTTCTTGCATGGCAAGACCACTTACTGTTTTCTCACATATATATTCTTATTATTATAGCGAATTTACCACCCTAACTCCTCCCACAGTTTTTACACTACATAGACAGTAATATACCGAAACGTGCGGATTGTTCCCGATTGGTGTGCTATTACTTTGTGGAACATTTCGCCGAATGGTTCACAAAAATATTGGTGTTTTTGTGGTGAAATTGGTCCCATAGGAATGAATGGCGGAATGTTCAAAACTAGAGTGGGAGCTGACAAAAGCTAGAGTGTGAGCTGAAAAATCAGGACATGATTTCTAAACTGCCATCACTCCCTCATTTTCAAGCACACCTACACAAATCTTATATCAAAACGTTCAGCTATCCCTGCTGCCACTAAAAATATCCACGGCTAAGCCATAGTCCTGATTGTTTTCACAATATGACCATTTGTTTGCAACTCACGCCACCCATTGACATTCATTGAAACTCCACTCTAGCCACCTCATATTTGAAGGGCAATTTATAAACTGCAACTGTGCCTTCATTTTTAATATTTCAGAGGCATACTATGCATCACAATATAGGTCTAGGTCTTGTGATTCTCACAATATAAAGCTCTTCGGTGTAGGATTTATAATTTTTAAACTACAACCGTTTGAAAATGGCAACCGCCAGTGAAGTGAGCAAGTTGGAGCAGTTTGTTTTTAACCGCTCTTCTCTGCCCTTGCTGTAGAGTAAGTTGCCATAGGAACCCAGGTGTGTGAGCAGGCAGCAGTTTGACAAAAGCTAGAGTGTGAGCTGAAAAATTAGGACATGATTTCTAAACTGCCATCACTCCCTCATTTTCAAGCCCACCTACACATATCTTATATCAAAACGTTCAGCTATCCCTGCTGCCACTAAAAATGTCCATGGCTAAGCCATAGTCCTGATAGTTTTCACAATATGACCATTTGTTTGCAACTCATGCTGCCCATTGACCTTTTCACAGTTACTCCAGTCACTCCACCCAGTTAGTCCGCCCACTCCAGTTGTAGACTACTGGTGGAGGCAAGAACACTTCACACAATTTCCCCAGAAATTGTAGCTTTTCTAGTTTTGTACTGTTCTCTTTAAGTATTGGAGACTGCCTTTTTGATAAATAAAGAATTTGTAAAAAAAAAAAAAAAAAAAAAAAAAAACTGCTTTTCTTTCCATATAAGTCAATGGAGTAGAAATATCTCAAACTGATCTGAAATGCAAGTGAAAGCATGCTGTATTTGCCCATCTGCACGAACCTTAAGGTACATCTACTGTGCAGCACTGCTAAGCCGGAAGTTGGGACAGTATATGTAAGGAGTAACTATGGCTGCCCCCTTGTACATATATAATTACAAATTATACATAGGAAATGTATGAGTAACATTTAGAATAAGTGACACCCCAATGCACATTAATAGTACAGCGAAATGCACCTGTGCTATAGCACACCACAAAGCATGGATGTGAGATGTTTGTATGTTCTGTTGTGCTTCAGTGAAAAAAAATATTGTCGTCGAGGCTCTTTTTTCATGCGCTGAGGTGTGCTGCCAGATCATTGCAAATACATATGTAGCCTGAATGCAGCAAGTCTCAGCGCTTGAAATGGGTGCACATAATGTGAATGGGCCCTAAGGGTAATGTTAGACTACAATTGCTATATCAGCTGAGAATAGAAGCCAATGAGAAATGCTTTGACATACATTGTTGTTTGGGGGAAAATAATTGCGATTATTGGGATAGCAGACAATGTGTTGCTGGCAGAAAGAAGTCCCACATGACATTTCTCTAACTGATTATGCTGACAGCTGCTCTGAGATAGTTAATTGCAGTGGGTGCCTGAGCAAATTAACCCAAGAATCTTCCATTGCAACTGCTTGTGATGCTCTTTTCCCAGATGACGCGAGCTAAAAACACTTACAGCTTCACAACAGTCGATTTAATTAAGATGAATGAACGAATTAACGAATCACTTCGAGAAATCTACCACATGTCTTATATGTAAGTTTAGCCAGCGTCTCTTCTCTCTTTTCAAAGAATTTGAATGAAAAGCCCTTATTTAAAGTGGTTGTACACCTATGTATATACCCAGTGAAGTGACTGGTGTCAGGTGATACACAGAGATGAAACAAATCCAACTACATAAGTAGTACCTGTTTATCTGCAAGCCCTCTCTTCTCTACATCCTTCTAAAGTGCTGAATTTAGAAAGGGTGTCTGAAATTTCAGGAAAAGGGGGGCAGAGAGCTGAAATTACACACTGAAGAGCTCAGTGAGGAGAGATCTGAGAGCTGATTGGAGGGAAAGGACACACCCTCTCCCCTCCCAGTTCACAGGAACAGAGCTGAGGTTGTCACTCTGCTGGAGGTCCCTCCCCTGTCACCATTTTTTTCTTGCTTGGTGTCTGGAAAACTTGTCAGAGGAACAGAAGCAGCAGACAGAAATTACACTTAGTGCTCTTAACTGAGACAAGTACATACTATAGAGGGATATGATTTGTACATATTTCATGTCTGAGGTTTGCAACCACTTTAAATGGTTGGTCCATCCAAAATTATCAGTGGGGGGAGGAATATGCTCCATTTGTGGGGAGGAATAGTGCCCCATCACTGATGTCAGTGGGGAGGAATAGTGCCCCATCGTTGGTGTCAGTGGGGGGAGGAATAGTATATCATTGGTGTCAGTGGGAGGAATAGTGCCCCATCGTTGGTGTCAGTGGGGGGAGGAATAGTGCCTATCATTGGTGTCAGTGGGGGGAGGAATAGTGTCCCATCATCTTCTGTGAGATTGTGAAATGATTGTGTGCCCATTTGAAAGGAGTCACAAGATGTTTTACTGTACCTGGTTTTGATGTCTTTTTTCAGAATAGTTTGTAAGCTGCTTAATGAGATCTATGAGCACATCCACTGCCTGTACAGGTTATCAGATGCCGTCTCCATGTTGGATATGTTGCTTTCTTTGGCTAGCGTTTGCACACTGTCAGATTATGGTAAGAGCTACATTGAGACAGAAATGGTAGATAATATTGAACATATAGTATTTGAGTGCAAGTTTAGAAAATGGATGTGTTTGTTTTTGGTGTGAGAGTTTCAAGACCAGAAATGTTGACAATTTTCTACATGGATATATTTCTCTTTTGAGTTATACACGTAATGCAGAACTGCAGGCAGATATGAAAGACAAAATATAATGCAGCTCTGTATCCATTAATGTGACACCAAACTGAATTAAAAGAAAAAAATTCTATTGAAGTATGTATTCTTAACTCAAGAAATGTAGACTACGGACTCGTGGATTTGTAGTGTGCATAGACCAGTGTACATTATTTATAGACAAAAAGGTGCAGCGCTAGTAATGGAAAAAGTGAAACATCAGCATACATTCAATTATAAGAATAGAACAGGTGAGGACATGAAATCGTATATTCGTCATAAATGTAAGTTCGATGTTCAATCAAATGTCCGAAAACATGTGATAGGGTGCAATGTGCCAATTCTGCCAGGTCCCCTTATCAAGGTGAATGATCCAAAAGTGAGCAGGAAATAGGTAAAGTGCGCACTCACCAGAAGTGCGTTTAAAATAAGCATGAAAGAAGTATCCTCTCTCCTGGTGCATCTAGGTTCTCCCCACTCAGGTAAAGCTGCGCTCACTAGTTCTCACCGGTCATCAATCCTGGTCAGGTTCAATGGTACATCCGACACTTATACACCTCTGGAGTCCCTCTTAAAACTTGGTGCTGTGAAAGGGTGGCGCTCATGGAGAGCCCAATAAGGGACATCACATAGCGTGATACTGCATAAACACTTTATTTGAAAAGTAGCATAAAATAGGATAGGATACTGACCGCAATCATGGAATAGATGTCCAGGTGCTGTAACCCCCTGACGCGTTTCGTGCTAAGCACGTTCTCAAAGGGTGCAGGGCTTACAGCACAGACATCCTCTTACTGCTATTTATAATTTGTAATGGCAATCGCGCTTGATGCACCCGCCATTTTGCCGGCGACCGGCGCATGCGCAGTACGCCGGCGCCATTTTGTCGTGGATCGCGATTGCTGGCAATGTCCCTCTTGTGCCTCCAAGCAGGTGCATAGCGCCGCCATTTTGTTGGAGGGAGAAGGGAGCTGATACATTGCTCTATACAACAAGCAAGGATCCATTCGTGGCAGGAAAATTTTAATATGTAAAGCCACAGGATAATCATCCTCCTTAAAACTGGAAGTGTACATTATTGCAACTAACGTGTACTTAACATTTCAAACGAATGGAAGTAAGAGGGGAAAAGGAGAGGTTCAGGGGCTCATGGAGGATGTTAAAAGGAGGCAGAAAAACACAGTAAAAAACAATTTAATAAAACATTTCATATCACCTTTTATTTCCAAAGCCCATTTTGGATTTGTGTTATTGCTTTAAAACTGTGATCTGTGTTTAGTTTCTTATGTTCTGGGTACATTCACTCACCCTTTTGTGTTTTATTCTAGTTCGTCCAGAATTCACAGATACAATGGCAATAAAACTGGGCTGGCATCCAATCTTGGAAAAGATTTCCTTGTCCAAACCAGTTCCAAATGACACCTATCTAAGTGAGGGGAGTAATTTTATCATACTCACCGGGCCAAATATGAGTGGAAAATCAACGTACTTAAGACAGATTGCTCTTTTCCAGATAATGGCACAAATAGGTAGCACTTCATATTATTCTGATTTGTCGCTGTTTGAAGACAAATAAATGCATGACATTTCATTGTACACAAACATAATAATGTTTTATGTTCAGAACATTATTACTTTACAACCATAAAGTACGCTTACTGCTCCATTTACTCCTGCAGTCTGATGCCAAATGTCTAGATTCCTAAGTGGACATTAACCAGTTCAGCTCTCACTCCTGTACACTGCCTATGAACCAAAGCATTTCTGCTACTGACATTGATTCAACAATAACTTTGTTATTGCTTTAAGTAGCAAATCAATAGGTAAGTCTTGGTTTTTAGGACAAAACAAGCTTTCTTTTAGTGATTATGATAAAAAATTATTTCTTTTTTTCTATGTAATCTATAGACAAAAAACACAATGTTTTTCATACTTTGATGAGTGTCTGTTTAAGGGCTCATTCACAGGTGTACTCAGCCCTATAAAACATGGAGAGCCATTTGTTTTTCTGTCCTAGCTCTGAGCTGCATGCTGGCAGGGGTGCACGGACCTGTATGCAGAGTCATTGCATCAGGTTTCTTGCACCCATCTCTGTAGATGGCAGATTTGTGTCCATTCGCTAATATAGGCTGCTTGCACAAAACTCAGTGCTAGGATATAAAAGTAAACAAAGAGCTCTTCACATTGTATGGGGATGAGCACCCATGCGGATGAGCCCTAAAAATTAAATTAGTGTAAAACTAGATAAAAAGTATAAATTGACACTAAAATTAGGACTCTCATATAAAGCATTACAATGTTGTTTACAACTTTTTTTCAATAAGTAAAAAGGAAAAAAGTGTAAATATTAAAATGGTAGTAAACTTTCTACAAAAAAAAAGGGGTCCTGGGTGCTGCACCACATACTAGCAGGGGTGGACTGACCATTTGGAAACTCGGGCCCTGCCCGAGGGCCCGGGGTCAGTAGGGGGCCCCATGAGATGCCCCTGGTACCTTTTTCATAGGCTTTTTTGAGTTTGGGCAAGGACACAGGGGGCTCATGATCCCCTATTGCCCGGGGGCCCCATGAGTTGTCAGTCCGCCCCTGCATACTAGCACAGTATGGCATACTTGCCATAAAAAAAGCCCTACAGCAGCGTTGTCACCGCTGTCAGGGCTTCCATCTTCACCCGGTCTTTCTTCCAGGTTTGTGAGCTGCAACCGCTTGAATTGGCTGAGCTGCAGTGATGTCACTCTCACACATGTGCGCTGGAGTCACGGCCAAAGTGCACAGCTCTGAAGGGACGGCATGAGTATACCGTCCCTTCAGAGTATACGGGAGCCAGTGGGATGGATGTTGATCATGTGACCACTGTGAAAAGCCAGTCTTGACGGTCACTTCATATAGAAAGCACATTGCCTCCTGGGCAGTAAAGCCCACTTAAAGGGCCACCAGGGGTTAACTGAAGTCATATACAGATTGAAGCCCATGCGTTTGATCTGCAGATGAATAAACATAATACAATTTACACAGTAACTAATAGCTATTATTTTGGCAGCTGGGAGTTGCACGCAAGTGCGAGAGGGGCAAATTAATTTTTTTGGGGTGTGTATAGTATGTTTAGTGTCCATAATTGGTTTAGACCCAAGTGTAACTATGTTGTTATTATGAATAAACTGCACAATGGTGACAACCACAGGCTGCCTGCAAAAAATTACGAGGGGATCTGATCCAGGGCCAGTCACCCTGCATGAGTTGAGGGAGCAGCACTGACTGGCCAAAAAACTCCTCTACAGAGTCAAAGTGCAGCAATGGTTTTATGTTGGATTGCTGCACCAATCTGAAAGAAATACACAAAGGACATGTGGTATTTAAGCAATATTTGTTTTGCTGAGATTTCAGCATTAAAGGGTGATTTAGCCTTTTACTTAAGCAAAAAACAAAACAAAAAAAATTGTAAAGGCAGTAACCTTTATCTTATGATCATTGTGCATTTACTAGTTTGTATTAAAGCCTGTAGGGCATTGCACTCATGATCAGTGAGTCACAGGTGTACTGCACAGGCTCTTGCACTGTCTACCCTCAGATTCCTACATAGGTATGGATCTTCTGTTGTGGGGCTGGAGGAAGTGAAGATGAATTAGAATTGTGGTGATCCATCTGCTGCCGGTGTGCCCTGACATGGTGGCAGATGGGTCATGTAGTAACCTCCATTCATCATTAGTGGACCTTGATGAAGCAAGGTAGATGCACCCTTCAATTCAGGTAAGTGGTAAGGGAGGGGGTACGTGACCATATTTCTTATTACTTCCTAAATATGGGTGTAGCGTGAAACATGGACCAAAAAGGGGATTTATCCTTAAAAAATTAATTATTATTAATTCAAAAGGGGGTGAAGTGAAAAATGGGGCGGCTTGTGGCATAGCTTATTTTGTTCTACTGGTGGGGAGCCTTCCACGCCGGCAGAACATAATGATTACTGCTAGCGGCTATATCTTCTGGCAGTATTTGTATGTAAAAAATCCAACAGGCCGGTTATACACATGTCAATCGATGGATCGACTTGGTACAATCAGCCTACCCATAGATGTTCGAATCTAGGCCAGTCCCTGCTGAACCAGCCAAGATTCAATCCATCTATGGTCGGCTTTACAGTAACCAGTAAGGTGCAGATGTTAATATTCTAACATGTAGGAATAAAGGGACAGTTGGAGTCTGTTTGCTGTTGGCAACAATTTTTCTTCTGTTATTGTGACCAGAAACATAAAATTGTGCAGAAATTCATCGACCACTTGAAGCATTTACTTAAGTGTGTGCAACCGCCCGGAATGCTGTCATGCTGAGAGCAGAATATGTGTTCATAAGTAGCTCATTTCATTGTCCAGAATTCTCCACAAATCTACAATGTTTGTAAGAACCTAGAATACAAAGTGCTGCTTGAGGGCGCATTAGCACCCTTTGTTAGCACTGGAACACAGAACAATATTACTGTACTACTGTTAACAATTTATAGTACAAAACATATTCTGTCCATTTTCTCTCAAGTTCAAGCATGTTGTGGAATAATATTTAGGCCAGCCATGGATGGTTCGAACCATCTATTAGCATGCTGATTGTACAAATGGGGTACAACCTGCATGTCGGATTTCTCATGCGATTATATCCGCTAGCAGTTATCACTGTGTTTCTCCTGGCAGGGTGGCTCTTCCCTCCCTGTCACCCAAAGCAAACCTTTTCTTGTAGGTATAGTACACACACAGCTCTCTCTGAGTCCCAGGCCACAAGCAACTCCTTGCTCCAGCCCTGCCTCCTTTATACCACCTATTGGTGGTCATCAGTGGAGCACAAACTCCGGTCCGGAACCACCTCTTCAACTGTGGCCCCGAAAACCCAGAGTGGACTCCACCTAAACTTCCAGGTATGAGCGTATGCGAGGTGACACATAGCGTCCCTCTATCACCTCGCCGTTCATACTGTCACACATCTCATTCCCTTTAGGAATACAGGAGTACTAGAAGCTGCCATTTGCAAACTAAGGGGTTGATTTACTAAAGGGAAATAGACTGTGTACTTTACAAGTGCACTTTTTCTTAGTGAGTCCCGGTTCACTCTAATGCTGTGCGAGAAACCGCATGTGATTCGGACAGAAATCGCACCGCATTCCTGTTCAAATCACATGCAATTCTTTGCAGTGAGATTTGAGCCATTCATTTTGTATGGCTGAAAGTGCACCGCAAATCACAACGCACCCACGCGAAAGGTGCAGACACCTTTTTGTTCTTGTACTTTCTGTAATTCAGCCACTTGCACTGCATTTTGCGAACCATTTTTGGGTGTCGTTAAATTAATATAGACACCTGCAGTAGTTTGCATAAACGGAGTGCGATTGTGATGCGGTGCGGGAAATGCACAGCAAGCACTGTGAATCCCGCACTACATCAGTGTGAAAAGGTACTAAATGAGGGGAAGCTCAGCTCACTTCCATCATCCAACCATGTGCAAGCAAAAAAATTTTTTTTTTGTATTCTTTGTAAAGTGAAGCATCATCTCATTTCTAAACTCTGGAGCAACTGCACTTGCAAAGTGCAGTGTTCTTACTTTTAGTAAATCCATCCCTATGTGCTCTGGATTTATATTCTTGGGGATTTTCAAGAAAAAAAATGAAAAAGATCTATGCAAACTCCTATGCCTTTTCTTTTTAACAAAACCACATAGATGTCCAAAATATCAAAACAATCCCCACTAGTGTAACCAAATGTTCAGCAAAGTCTATTTTTTTCTTCTTTCAACGGCCACATGTTCCCTAGTCTGTCTGCATGTGCATTTCTATGAGGAGGAGCTGCCTTATCCAAACTGTAATGTGAGTTACTAAATAAAGGATGTTATTTTATTGAATCTACCATATGTAATTGCGGTTTTTCTTATGAAGAGAATGGAAGAAAAACTTTAATACTGGATCTAATACTGGATGGAATTCTACAGTTAAGAAGTTAACCCAGATTTGTGTTATGCCCTGTCTTTTGATATATAGGATAATTATCCATCAGCACACGAGTTGGAGATTGTTTGGTTTGGGGGTGTGTAGGGTTTAAGGTGATCACTGATGAATATATAGTGTGGTGTTACACATTTGCAGTGATACATTTTGAGTTGTTTACACAGATTATATAGTGGACACGATGTGTGAGTGTTTCACTGATTAGGAATTTGGTTACACAAAGAATTAAAAAATATATGCGTATATGCAGATATTCGCATATAGATTAACATTTTTTTTTTCTCTTTCTTTCCTTTTTTTCACAAGTATTGCATGTTGCACTGTAAGGGGCACGTGTGTATTTATTACCAAAAAGGTATGACACTATGTTAAGTTTTTTTCTTTTGAGGTATATTGTCATCAGAATTTGCGGGTGTTGAGAAAAAGATTTGTTGTTGAAAGAAGAAAAAAAGAGACTTTGCTGAACATTTGGTTACACTAGTGGGGATTGTTTTGATATTTTGGACATCTATGTGGTTTTGTTAAAAAGAAAAGTTTTTATACACATTTTTTGATTAACCTTCAAGGGTGGAGGTGGATTACTTTTCTGGGAATTTTTGTGCTGTGTATTTGAATATAAACTCCTATGCCTGCTTACGTTTTTATGTATATCTGAGTAGACATTGTGGGGTTTATTTACTAAAGCTGGAGAGTCCAAAATCAGACTCCCTTCTGCATAGAAACCAATCAGCTTCTAACCTCAGCTTGTTCAATGAAGCTTTGGCAATGAAACCTGGAAGCTGATTGGTTTCTATGCAGAAGGGAGTCTGATTTTGGACTCTCCAGCTTTAGTAAATAAACCCCCGTGTGTTTTTATATGAAGCTTGGTGTGCTTTGTGCAGTTCTGTGCATTAATCCAGTTTGAAACCGTACCTAACTGCAAAAGCTTCCTGTGATAAAGGCCAGTCACAGCCGCTCTCTCTTTTCCTTTTGCAGGGTGACTGCTCTTGTCTCTGCTACCTCCTGTAGTTTTCTGCAGACACCCTGTAGTGGGTGGAGCCTGCTGGGTCTCCCCTCAACCCCCCCCCCCCCCCCAAAGGTCTACTCTCTGTACAGGCTATGTGCAGCACAGTGATGATGTCACTGCTAATTTTACAAGGTAATAAATGGGCTTACAAAGACATTTGGCATTCACAAAATCGATTTATATCCTTTGTGTTTAGTGAGAAATATATTTAAATGACAGTTTTCGTGCATGGAGTTCACCTTTTACATAAAAATGAGATCAGATTTAATTTGATTCAAAGTGTACAATATGTTTCATGAGTACCATCATCATTCTTCTTTTATTCATTATTACAAATGTAATAATGGTTTTTATGTTTTTTCAGGGTCCTTTGTTCCAGCAGAATATTGTTCACTACGAATTGCTAAACAGATATTTACCAGGATTGGAATGGATGATGATATCGAAACAAATGCCTCAACTTTCATGAGGGAAATGAAGGAGGTCCAGTATTACATGCACTCAAACAGAAACTACATATCACAACATACACATGAAATGTCACTACTAGAAGTGATGTTTGGTAGAGAATTCCATAATACTACCTTGTCTGCAAGCCTAAAGATGGGTTCAGCCCTGCAGGCTGAACAAAAAATACCTGGGAGATCATCATACTAACACAAGCGATGTTAGTGCGACAATCTCCCTTGCTGTACCTTTGTGTTCTGACAGAGGGATAGCCCCCCAGCCGGAACGCACTGATCTGCGCTCACAGTGATTGGCTGTCAAGGATGATTGGATGCTGGTTTTCCAGCATGCCCCTTTAACAGAAGCCGGTTGTAAAACTGGCTTTGGCATGTGCCGAAAGTAGGAGGGTCCCTGCCAAACCGACTGTTTTCGGCCAGTGTGTGCCCAGCTTTACACTTGTACCAAAACTGTCAGTCTGAAATGCATACATTATTATAATTGGTTTAAAGAGGAATTCCAGTTATGGATATTGTATACTTTTTTACATTAGTCCAGCGACAGTCCTGCTGCATTCTAAACACAGGAGGTCAGATGCTCAGTACAGGCACCATTCAGGGAAAACTTTGCATGCTCTGAATGAATGTAAAGCGTTTTCTGTTTGATCTAGAGCAGTGGTTCTCAACCTGTGGGTCGCGACCCCTTTGGGGGTTGAACGACCTTTTCACAGGGGTCACCTAAGACCATCGGAAAACACATATTTCCGATGTGTAAAGAGCAGCTACTGTGTAGAAAGCAGCTGCTGTGTTGAAAGCAGCTACTCTGTTAAAACCAGCTACTATGTTGAAAGAAGCAGTATTGGAGGTAAAACGACACTCATGAATTATAATTACTGGGTAAATAATTTTATGGTTGGGGGTCACCACAACATAAAGAACTGTGTTAAAGTGTCGCGGCATTAGGAAGGTTGCGAACCACTGATCTAGGTGGAGAGGCAGGGTGGGTGGCATTGCGTTCTCCACCTTGTACAATCAGAGAACACTTTTCATTTATTCTGAAGATGCAAAGCATTCTCTGAATTGTGTCATGCTGCACAGCCAGCCTCCTGTGTTTAGAATGCACCAGCCATCCAATAAGCACAGGACCCTGAAGCAAGTGGAAATCACTGGCGTAGCGGTCTTTGCTTCAGTGATTTCCAGCTTCCAAGGGCATTGGCCAGGTATAGTTTACACATATATCCAAGCTGGAGCACTGTAACTATGTATAAAACATCCATACCTGGAATTCATCTTTAAAGCTTTTTATATAAAACTATACGTTGCTAAAAAAAAAAAACCCTAAGAACCCCTCAACACCACCTTTCCCTCCTGTAATTAGATAAAGTGTAACTCTTTTCTGGTAAACCTCATGTTTTTGATAGGCATGTTTTGTTGATAAATCTATGCATAACTCATGTAAAGGTCCATGAATGTGTGCTATTATTTCTTAAGATAACATACATAATACAGAATGTAAATGACCAGTCACTGATAATAATTGATGAACTTGGAAGAGGCACTAGTGCGGAGGAAGGCATCGGGATCTGCTACGCAGTGTGCGAACACCTTATTGGTTCAAAGGTATCTTTATCATTTCTCAGTTGTCATTACCAAGTTGTCCTTACTTTAAGTGTATATTCAGGAAATACCCCAAATTACCCCCTAAAACTCCCTCTCCCCTCAACGTGTCCCAGCATTGTTTTCTTTTTATTTTGCCTCTTTACCTTGTTTCTGAAGAGAGAAACCGTTTTTATTACTTCCTGTGACATCATTACCAGGCTTGTAAAATTTTTACAGGGGCAGCTGCAGGGGGCTATTTCCTATTGGCAAAGGCACATCACCCAGAGCTACATCTCCCAAGAACCTTTTCTCTATACAGCCCTGGCCAAAAGTTTTGAGAATAACACAAATATTAATTTACACAAAGTCTGCTGCTTCAGTGTTTTTTGGATCTTTTTATTAGATGTTTATTTTTTTGTTTTAATTATTTTATGTACTTATATAGAGCCATCAATTTATGCAGCACTTTACATATATATATTGTGCATTCACATCAATCCCTAACGCTCAAGGGGTGTACAATCTAAGGTTCTAAATCACATTCATCCATACACTTACTAGTGCCAATGTAGACCGGATCCAGTTAACCTACCAGCATGTCTTTGGAGTGTGGGAGGAAACTGGAGTACCCATAGGAAACCTACACAGGCACAGGGAGAACATGCAAACTTCAGGCAGGTGGTGCCGTGGTTGGGATTTGAACCAACAACCCTAGTACTGCCAACCTGAAGTGCTAACCATTTAGCCACTGTGCTGCCCAAGCATTTCATAAGTGTCAAAGGCTTTTATTGACAATTAAATTAAGTTTATGCAAAGAGTCAGCGTTGCCCCTTCTTTTTCAAGACCTCTGCAATTCCCCCTGGCATGTTGTCAACCAACTTCTGGTCCACATCCTGACTGATGGCAGCCCATTCTTGCATAATAGTGATTAGACAAAGTGAGCGCTCTTAAATGTAGCAGCTGTGGCACTAAAGGTAACCACACTCCAAAAACATGCTGGCAGGTTAATTGGCTCCTGTCTAAATTGTCCTTAGTATATGTATGTATGAATGGGAGTTAGGGACTTTAGATTGTACGCCCCTTGAGGGTTAGGGACTGATGTGAATGTAAAATACAGTATATATGTAAAAGCGCTGCGTAAATTGATGGCGCTATATAAGTACCCGAAATACATAAATATAAACCTCAATAAAACTGTATAAATAAAAGTGCAGCGCTAATAAAATAACAAATACAATATCATGACAATGAAAGTTCATAAAAGTTCATAAATAATCAATGTTGGTGAATGATCCCCACTGTAGCAGAATTCAAATGCTTGTGCTTGGAAGTAACGGTAAAATTGCACACTCACCAGAAGCGCATGGGATATACACATATATATATATCCACCATGGACCACTTAGGAAGGCGGGGTATGTCAGGCGTCTGGTAAACTTCCTTCAGGGTGTGGAACAGCACAGCAGTAAATCTTGGGATTAAATGAAAATCTGCTCCTCCAGAGGTCCCCTTTAGGATGGATGGGTGCTCAGCCTGGTTACAGGGATTCCCTCCTCTGGGTGCTGGTTAGGTGAGGATCATCTATAGGCTCTGTAATTAATAGCTCCAAGAAAGAGCCACAAAAGAAGTGCCCATAGTGTAGTAATTTTGAGAAAACTTTATTCCATGGATTTTTGGTAAAAAGGGTTAATAGTAATGCAGAGTTAACGAAGCACTGACCAAGGTAAAAGATGGCTGCCGGACCTGCACGTGGCTCTTGTCAACGGTGGTTGGTCTCCCCTCTGATGACGTGCGTGGCACGAAAGGCCTAAGGAGGAACCAACACACCGTGACGTCACGCCGCTGGATATGTACTAAATGTATTTTTTTTTTCCTTGACATACACTTTGATTACGAAGTACTGAAATGTTCCTGCAGAATCCTTCAGCTCTTGCTGTTTTTACTCTTCAGGTTTATGTTGTGGCAAGGGTGTGTCTGTCATACAATGAATGAAAGGCCTAGTTCACACCTATGCAGTATGCTTTTGATCCTTTTCTGTAGTGCTTTTTGTGGTGCATTGTGCATTTTTTCACACTTTTTAGTATGCGTTTTTTTTGCTTTTTCAAAAACACATTACATGCGATTTCTGCAGTGTTTCCACTGAAGTCTGTTGAACTAAAACGCAAAATGTTTAAAAAAGTCCCTCAACCTTTCCAAAGACACAACGACTGAAAAAGGTATAGATGTGAACGTGTCCCATAGGAAACCATGTTAAATGGACTGTAGTGCGTTTCTGCAAAAAGTACCAAAATACATAGGTGTGAGCCAGGCCTTATAGCGATAAATGTAAAAGTTTTTATAGTTGAGAGATTTATAAGTAATTTTTTGGTGCATATATATTCACATTTTAATTTTATCACTATAAGAAGTGGAGCACTACAATGTTTATTGTAAAAATTAGTGTTGAGGTATATGTGATATAAATTTTGGTGTTAGCTAGCTCTACAAACAGGTGATGGTGATGTTGGGTAGCTGCATGAGGAAATATTTTATATATTTTTTTGATACTGTGTTGCATAAAGTTTGGACAAAGTGTTGGATTTGTGGCTCTAGTGCAGAGAGGGAGGTATGCTGGTTTTCCTTCACTAGTCATCATTTATATTGTTAATATATATTTTGTGTTTGGCTGCAGTTCCACATATAATATACTGCATATGTTGTTGTTTTTTTTTTTTTGGGCAGAAGTGGAGTTTTATTTTATGTACATGGTCATAACTAATTCATAAATGATAACTATCCTCTACCTAAAATATTTAGTTGACTTCTGAAATTATGTGGATAAGCTGCCTTTTAATTAAAATTTTTTTTGCTGCAATCATATTTTTTCAGGCTTTTACACTTTTTGCAACACATTTCTTGGAGTTATGTCATCTAGGTTCAATGTATCCAAATGTTGAAAACTTTCACTTTGCTATAAAGCATGCAGCAAACAAGTCCGGGATAAAGCAGTCGATCACTTATACCTACTTGCTATCCAAAGGGCAGACAAAAGAGAAGAATTATGGTAAGAATGACGATTGACATGTTACAATTACAGAATAAGATACAGCACTGTGCATTTGGCCCCTTTGACACTGGGCAGGCTCTGTTTGGATCAGCAGGGGATATGATCGTCTGCTGATCAGAGAAGAGTGGGCGAATGACAGGTCCATGTCCAGGGCCGTGTTCAACGTGGGGCAAAAGGGGCAGCTGCCCCAGGCCCAGTCATTGGTGTGGGGCCCAAAGCAGCTGCCCCTTGAGCCCAATATCATGGCACAGCAATTCGCTGAAGGTGGGGGCACATCTCAGATGGAGTGTAGTGAGATTGCAGTGCTGGCTAAAGTCAGCTTGAGGGTAGTTGTTGCCTGAAGATGCACAGTAGTGCACAGATCACTGCTGCTGCCCATAACAGAATGTGCACACACCATGCTCTTGCAGAGTAGCAGCAGAATGCCGAGTGCTGGAGCAGTCCCTGCGCTCCTCCTGCACCCGGGTGGCACTAGTCTAGAAGACCCATATAACTCTTCGCTGTCAGGCGGATTGATCTCCACCTGACCGAGAATTTCTAGTCCTGTCACCTGATAAGACTCACTCAGAGTCTGGGACTGGAAGAAAGTGTGGTGTCGATGCAGAGAGGGAAAATGTATGGTGGTCAGATCTGATGTGAGTAATAACGAAAGTGAATCAGTCATAAAGCTTTTCTTGAGAAATGGACTGGGGACCTCTGTGGTGAGTGTGGGGGGTTTTGTGATTTGGGTGGGGGGGTGAAAGGGTTGATTAATGCAATTAGTCTATAATATACAACAGGAAAGGGTTAATGTACTGCCTCTGGCCAATAATGCATTTGTACCAATAGCAGTCAGTTAACCTCTTTATGCTGTATTATTGGCACCAGTGTCAGGGTTAATTAAGGGTTACTAAACAATGCCACTAATACAGCATAAAGAGGTTAATTAAAACAGCCACTGCCCACCAATGGGGATGGATGTTTTAAATAGTAATACCGCTGACCATCAGTGTAGAAAGATTACCCACTTCAAAACCCAGCCATTTCCAACATTCATCATTCATAACAATCGGTGAGCTGTAATGATATGCTGTAACCTCTACCAACCAATAAGTAAGTGGTAATAATGCACAGTAACCCATAGCAACTAATCAATGAACAGTACTGATCTACTGTTATCTCTACCAACCAATCATTGAGAAAAAATTATGTGCAGTAACCTTTAGCAACCACTCAGTTTGCAGTAATGACGTGCAGTAACCTCTAGCAACCAATCAGTGAGCGGTAATGATGTACTATAACATCTAGCAACCAATCAGTGAACAGTATTGATAAGCAGTAACCTTTAGCAATTAATCAGTGAGCAGTAATGATGTACAGTAACCTTTAGCAACAAATGGGTGAGCGGTAATGATGTGCAGTAACCTCTAGCAGCCAACCAATGAGCGCTAAGGACGTGCAGTAAGCTCTAGCAACTAATCAGTGAGCGGTAAGAATGGGCAGTAACCTCCTAGTAACCAATCAGTGAGTCTGGACCAATCACTGAGTGTGGACCAGTTCTTTATGTTTACATTATTATTTTTCTTAGAGTAAAGCCCTGTACAAACGATCAGAAAAGTGGACGAAAAATACGTCTTTCAAAGCATTCATAACGATGTGATCGTTAGTACACAGCTTTCTCCTGAAATTCTTCAAGCACAAAAATTTTTCTTGTACGATACCAGATCATACAATTTTTGTTTAATCAGTACAGGTTTTGTCCAAAAACACAATATACATACAGTACAATACATCACTTCCGTACTTTTATTCTGTCTCCCGAGAATTTTCGTTACTTTGGTGACCTCTTCATATTCATTATTAGACTAGCATGCCCGTGTGTGCGGGGCTTAAGTGTGTGTTAGTTGTTTTTTGGAATGTTGGAGTAAAGAACAAAATTGCATGGGGGGGGGCAGGAAAATGTTTGCCCAGGGTCCAATCAATATTAAAGACAGCCATGTCCTTGTCCACTCAGTTTATGCAGAGTGGACATGGACAGAGCCCGCTCTGCTCTATGTGCAGCTGGAAGTAAATGGACTCCATTGTCTGTTTACAACTGCCTACCCTCCGACCCAGTCTGCCTAGATGGAAGAGGACTAATCCCCCCCTCCTTTTTTTTTTTTTTTTTTTTTTTTTTTTTTTCTTTTTCTTTTTTTTTTTTCCTTTTTCTTTTTTTTTTTTTTTTTTTTTTTAGCGGACTAAATCGGATTGGAGGTAGGTGGGGGTAAACAAACACAAGTCCATTTACACCCGCTGGTCCATAAGGATACATGTATAAAAATTGACATACGGACCTGATTGGATCACTCATGTTAAAGGGGCCTTATCCTAAAGCAGCCTATTGGAAATCTGCTATTAGTCAGCATACTCTAGTAATTATTTTTTGTACAGTAAGTGTCATGTGTCACTGTTTGTGCTTTAGTACTAATACATATTTACTAGTGGGTGGAGAGAGGTCAGAGCCAGGGGAGTTCTGGAACCCTAAAATGCCCTTTCAATGTTTCTAAAAACATCCCAGTTCACACAGCTGTTTAATTTCACTATTTTAGACGAACATTGACGTATGGGGATGACCCTGATATTCTGCTTTGACCCTTCCCCACCACTCATCAAGTGTAATCTTTGCACAATTTAAGCCTGAATGCATTTCTCTGAAATAATTTCTTCCCAGCTATTTTTTGTGAACTACTCAACCACTTCTCCCTATGTAATGGAGATGATGTAAAGGAAAGATGTTTATAGTCCAGATCATTAGAGTAGCCTTGGGTGACAACAATGCTCTATAGATACAGTAGGGTGAGTGCGAGTTGTCACCCTAGGACAAAGAGTGTGTTACTGTCAGGAGGACCAAGTGAGAATAAAGGAAAAACACTGAAAAAACCCCAAAAACAACAATTCAGGCACTTTAGAACTGGTAGTTGTGCTTTAGGATGTCACTCGAAATAAGTGGCACTGTACAGTCACTCATGCATTGCATTTTACCACACATTGTCACAGCTCACAGGCCTAATAGGGCCTTGGTTTCATATGGCACCAAATTCACAAAAAGAACATTGGGGAACTGGAAAAAGTGCAGAGAAGGGCGACCAAACTGATAAGAGGCATGGAGGAGATCAGCTATGAGGAAAGATTAGCTAAGATCAGCTATGAGGAACTGAATGTATTCTCTCTTGAGAAGAGGAGATTAAGGGGGGATACGATCTCCATGTATAATACATAAGGGGGGATATGATCTCCATGTATAATACATAAGGGGGGATATGATCTCCATGTATAATACATAAGGGGGATATGATCAACATGTATAATACATAAGGGGGATATGATCACCATGTATAATACATAAGGGGGGATATGATCTCCATGTATAATACATAAGGGGGGATATGATCTCCATGTATAATACATAAGGGGGGATATGATCACCATGTATAATACATAAGGGGGGATATGATCTCCATGTGTAATACATAAGGGGGGATATGATCTCCATGTATAATACATAAGGGGGGATATGATCTCCATGTATAATACATAAGGGGGGATATGATCTCCATGTATAATACATAAGGGTGGATATGATCTCCATGTATAATACATAAGGGGGGATATGATCTCCATGTATAATACATAAGGGGGGATATGATCACCACGTATAATACATAAGGGGGGATATGATCTCCACGTATAATACATAAGGGGGGATATGATCTCCACGTATAATACATAAGGGGGGATATGATCTCCATGTATAATACATAAGGGGGGATATGATCTCCATGTATAATACATAAGGGGGGATATGATCTCCATGTATAATACATAAGGGGGATATGATCTCCATGTATAATACATAAGGGGGGATATGATCTCCATGTATAATACATAAGGGGGATATGATCTCCATGTATAATACATAAGGGGGGATATGATCTCCATGTATAATACATCAGTGGTTCATATAGTGAACTCGGCAGGAGTGGACTGACAACTCATGGGGCCCCCAGGCAATAGGGGATCATGGGGCCCCTGTGTCCTTGCCAACACTCAAAGCACACCCAAAAAAGCCTATAAAACATACCAGGGGCATTTCATGGGGCCCCCTACTGACCCCGGGCCCTCGGGCAGTGCTCGAATGGTCAGTCCGCCCCTGGAACTCGGTGTAGAGTTATTCACCCTGAGGTCATCACAGAGGACAAGGGGGCGCTCTTTACGTCTGGAGGAAAAGAAATTTAATCTCCAAACACGGAAAGGTTTCTTCACGGTAAGAGCTGTGAAAATGTGGAATAGACTCCCTCAAGAGTTCTGGCCAGCTCAGTGGATTGCTTTAACTAAGTCCTGGATTGTTTCTTCGATACACAGAATATAACTGGATATAACATTTATAGGTAAAGTGGATCCAGGGAATATCCGATTGCCTCTCAGGGGATCAGGAAGGAATTTTATTCCCTGCAGGAGCAAATTGGATCATGCTTTGCTGAGGTTTTTTTGCCTTCCACTGGATCAACTGTGGGTATAGGATTAGAACTTTTTTTTTTTAATGGTTGAACTGGATGGACTTTTGTCATTTTTCAGCCAGACTAACTATGTAACTATGTGTGTGCATATATGATTATTGTTATTATTTATGTTGATCTCCTTTGCTGTTTTTAGGTTTAAAAGCAGCCACACTTTCATTCTTACCGGACTCCATAATGAAGGATGCCAGTGAAATCTCCAAGATAGTTGCAGACAAAATCCTGGTATGAGCACTGTGATTTTTTGTTCTGAAAAATATAGTTGCAGATTGAATTGCTGTAACAAATAGTTCTACTATGTCTGCACAGTCCATCAGCTGAAGTGTGGGACCCTTATTTACTGCTTTAGAAAATGATGTTCTTATTGCTTTCCCAGTCTGGGACAGTTCTCCCACTTCCTGTTCTGTATGATAGCTGTCTCCATCACAGGGACACAGACTGCAATAAACATTTGGTGGAGGTTCTAACCTCAATTTATT